ACAAGTTTCATATTTAGCTGCTGAATCAAGGACCAACACAACAATTGGCAACATTTGGCTTAAGTTGAATTCTCATTTGCAATGTACAGAAATGCTCATATATCATAAAGGTAGTCCCACCATCATCCTAGCTCAACCTAAGCCCAGCAATCCTTATATTAAGACTATCACTGAAGCACAATAAACACAAGATAGAATCAAATTTCATCAAGTACAGTGTTTGGGATTCAGCTAGTATTTGTCCAGCTTGTTTGTAAACCATTGTACATAATTTATTTGCCTTTCATTTGCCTAGTAAATTCCTCCCTAAACATACTCTTCCAAGAGGTGAAAAAACCACTTACAAAAAGAGCAAATAAGAAATAATTGGGGTGGATCCAACAAAATTTTCTTAAGGGTACAGAAATGATTTTTGCCGACAAGAAGGGGTGTCTCACTCTTTAAGAGTGTGGTCAAAAGATGAATAATCTTATGATACACTAGAGTATTGAAAGTATTGCACCTTGTTCAAATTGGCGGCACTGCTTGTCATCTTTTTGACAATATAAAACATTGCCCCGCCTAGGCACACCACTCCTGTTTTTAACAGAAAAACTAGTTGATTTGATCCAGGGATGTAGTCATAAAATTTAAACAAGGGGGGTTCTATGAAATTTCTAAGTTGTTCTTGCCATGTCATCATTGCAATTTAACATGAGAGGGTTGATTTTTTTTCCAATCTTTGGTTGTGCAGCCAGGTACATTGTCTTGAGTGGCAGCAGAGATCAGAACATTGATACCACATGAAGGGCTGGAGAAACTTCACTGCAAGAGAGAGGGCAAAATGTTTATACTGCCCAGGGTTAAATAAAATCTGATAATTAATTTAGTGCAAAAATGCAAGAAAAGTTGAGGTCGAGTCCTTGGCTGATTTTTAAAGATTTTTCTCCACTTTTTAGATTTTGATGGGAAAAATTGGCCCAATAAGAAAACAGTGCCGTTTTGTTATCACTGTGCCTTAAGAAGGAATTTCAATTTCCTGGAGCTATGTAGTTGTCTTTAATTCTTTTTCGACTACCTTCACCTTGGTGGGATCTTGCCGTTGACTTAAGGGAGTCATTCACATAAACGTCAAACACAACGTCAACTCTCTTTACATCCCTCAACTTTTGCGATGTGCACGATGACCAAGAAATTGCAAAAACCTATCTGATGCATATTGCTTGAATGTGGTACCACGTATAGGAAGTAAACCGTTTACAAGTGCAGCACCAATGGTAATCATTATATTCACAAGTGGTATGTCAGACATTGTTGTGGAATCTACTTTGACTTCAAAATATTTCAGCAAATTTCCTGATCTTAGCTCGTTGTTTTGTGATAGCGCCGGTGGAAAACTCTGATTTTCATGTTGAAAAAAATCTTCAAGTTTGCCCTCCCGGTTTTGGCAGGCAATGAATAATCTTTAAATGAAATGAAATTCAATAAAAAGATTAACATCACAAGGGGGTAAATTTCTGTTTTACTCGGTGTATCATCCAGGGGCGGATCCAACGCAAATTTGAAGGAGGGGCAGTTGGTAGTGGGGGCGCTGAAATTTTTCAAAAATTGGTTACGAGAGTACGCTGTATGCAACAATTTCAGATCCATTTTCAGAATGAACAACATAACTTTGAGGTAATCCTTGAAGCAAATTAACCTATCGCTCTTAGAAACTTTTTCACCAGATTCTCATTCTTCAAAAGGAGCGCAAAATTTCCAAAAAGGGGCGCCAGACTTGCTTCAACTCGTCGAGGGTGGGGTAACTGCCCCTAGTTGCCCCCCCCCCTTAATCCGCCACTGGTATCATCGTTTTTAGCTTATCAAACTGGCTAAGTATGCTGACTAACATATTATAAAGGCAACCAGATCAATAGATACAGGGAATGATCTGTTAGAGGACTAGAACCGAGTGCGATGTGCTTAAAACTTTATGTTTTTCAGCGTATCACGTTGGTTTAGTCTGCCAATTTTCTTGCTTTTAGCCTAATTCGACTAATAGATACGGTGAATGATTTTTCAGAAGACTGGGGCCAAGTACCCCATTCTGAAAATAGCACATTGGGGCAAATTTCAGGTTGGCTCCAAACTCTATCTTTTTCAGCGTATCAAACTGGCCGGGTATGCCAATTTTCATGCTTTTAACACAAACCCCACAATTCGGCATTCGGTTTTTTAGCGGAGGGTATGCGGGGCCCTGCACAAGATGAAAATAATTTGTGTGAAAAAGATTTTTGGAATTAGTTTCACAGCTTTTTAAACGTTGACGATCGAATACTTTTCTCATCAAGCCTTTAAGAAACGTTTTTCTCTGTATATCCTCTTGGTGCCATTTCTTATTTTCTATAAACAACACTTATACCATCTGTAGGCCAGATCATTCTTTCAGCTAAGACTATTAACATTTGTGTATGAATCTATAAACAAGAAAAATCCCTCTTGCTTTCATGATTACTTCTCTTTCAATGCAAATATTCACCAACACTCTATTAGGCAATCTAATCGCGGTAATTTGTTTTTGACTCATAGGAACAGTTTTCGGTATGGCCTGAAGTCTATTCAATATATGGGGGCAAAAATGTGGAATGACCTACCAGTAGAAATTAAAAATTCTCCTTCAAAATATTCTTTTAAAAACAATCTTAAAATATTTTTACAAAACAACATAGTAGTCAATGATGGTTTTTGAACTTAGTCTATAAATAGATGATATTTTTCTGTGGATGACTGATAGCAACTTACAGATGATTCTTTTTACTTTTAGAACTAAAAAATTAAGCAGAACGCATCTAATTTACTAGGGGGTGCTTTCTCCTCGTTTAGTTTATAAACTACTGAGAAAGTTTCCTCCTTTAAATAATTCCCTGTTTACAATACTAGCTTGTTTCTCCTCTACTCTGTATTTGTTATGTTACGTTTATATTATTTAACTTCCTTTTACATTGTTTATACTTTTAAGCTTGGATTATTTCTAATTTGCAACAAGTGTATGTATCCAGTGGAATTTAAACTGAACTGAACTGAACATCGTATGTCCAACCAAAGCTTAAAGGAAATTTCTCTTACAATCTTCTTTTGATAATGTAACCAATAGAAAATGCTTGCGTCGACCAGTATGGATCTGGTTGTAGAGCTTCTGAGAACCTGTTTTTCATTGCCTTGCGAATTCTTACTCTTGTCTGCACAAGTGTTTCATCACATTTCCCTTTGTATGATTATTTTTGCACAAATTTGATCGCTTTCGCGAGAACGCTTTGCAGATTTCCTGTCTCATCGTAACTCCCTCGAGCAATTTTTCCTTTCCAGAACACTCCTAAAGCTTTATAAAATGTTAGCTTATCTTACAACAGCATTACCAGTGTTGTTTCGCAGCCAATAACTGCTTGAACAGCCGGGAGATTTTTGGAACTATCTAAACCCAGGTAAGATACGACGTTCCAAAATTAACGTACTTCTCGTTTTCAATCTTTAAGGAATATTTCCTTGAAGGCTTTTCACATAATAAGCAGATAACTACATTAATGTCCTTTCGACAACTAATAAATGTTTATCGATGAGGCAAGAATGGAATATCAAGTGGATGGTAAAGCCTGGTAAAATAAATGTCTCTACTCAGAAAATCCAAGCATGTCACAAATATGATGCTTCTTGTCACAAAGAGACAATTTGCTTAGACGAAAGAAGAAAAAAAGCAAAGAAATTGAAATAAGAGAATGCAATTACAAAGACATTGGCACTCACCGGCGGACAGCCTATCCTGCGGTTCTTCCTTCTCACACAGCCATATCATTACTGCCTCTACCTTCTTCCCCCTTTCTATTTAAGGCGACCCCCTTCCTAGCGATAGCCACAGGAGTACGAGTGAATTTTTTTACCAAAATTTTCTAGCAGAGCAAGCTGCTTTTTATCACGTGACCCCTATGGGGCGTGTCCATTCAATTTGAGATAGAGGCTAGACATTTTTGTCTACCGTTCAGGCGCACATTTTCTCTATAATTCAGTGGGGGCCCTGACAGAATTCTTATCTTTACCAAAGCTAATTTTCCTAGAATTCATTGGGGCTTCGACAGAATTCCTGTCTCTACCAAGGCTAATCTATGTACCTTACCGTAGGGCCACTGGCAAGCCCGCGTAGCGGGCTTCGTAGGGGACCTAATTAATTACTAATATTTTCCTTTCCAATTTCTGCTTTCCAGCTTTCCCCCGGAGACAGTCGTTTTGCGGGCAGGTGCATCAGCCGGGAAACAGTTCCCCATTGTTGCCACAGAGTATTATTCTCTAGGCAGTCAAGGGCTGGTGCACTCGCAGGCCCACTTTCTGGATAGGATTTTTATAATATGTACGTTGCGTGTGGTACTTCATCCAGAATAACGAAAATATACACAAAATATAATAGTTTGATTGTTAAAAACACAATGATCAAACTATTGTATTTTACCAATCAAAGTATTACATTTTCATTCTGGTACTAAATTTATTTGCTAGCTATATTACAGACCTGTCAAGTTTCAGTTTTGAAAATGAGTGAGTTCTTTTTAAAAGGAAAGTTAATTTTTAAATGTTTAGTCGTCATAAGCGGATCTTAACCGATCCAGAACGAACCCTGACTGCCACACAACAAAAAGCAGGACCCAGGGGCGTAGCCCCAGAAACCTTACTTTTGCCACGCCCTCTAGTTCTTCGGAAGCGCCCTTTTGAGCAGAAATGGGGGGGGGGGGGGGGTTGAGGGGGCTTCATTTTTCGCCACTCTATGCAGTTTTTATTGAGAAAGAATTTATAACAGTGGATAATCATGAAATAAATTGATCTGGTGCACTTTGGCTGTGCAAATGATTGCAAAAGTGCATAGCGCTGTTGACCAGGAATGCAGAGGAAGTAATGCAGTCGAACAAGCAAGCGGAGCGTCGTAGTGTAACTGCTACCCCAATTAATAATTAAGGGGATAAACCCACTAACCGTCATTTTTTGTTAAGTAGCCTCAATTTCATCAAGAGGCTAGGCCTAGCAAAAGTTCAAGGCTTTGGGAATCATAAACAGAACGTTAGAGAGAGTTGAGATACAGAGAAAATGGATCTTTTCAGTGACGATTGTAGTAGAGACCAGGATTACTACGTAGAAGACGAAAGTGGAGATGAACAACGTAACTGGAGGTAGGAAGCATATGGAATAAATTATAAGCCCCATCCCCAAATTGAGCTATGAGTCTCTTATCTACTATCTTCTATTAAAGGGGTGGGCAACCTGTTGATAATCAAACAAAAGTTGTTTGGAGAGAGGGCCAGATCCTTCAAACCGTTTCTTTAAGCATGTCAGACGTAATAAGAAAAACGGATGTGATAGTCTTGTTATAATAATGATAATAATAATAATAATTCAATGACATTACAATTTTAAATTTTTATTCGATTGCACTACAGTTACAAACCTCTACATTTGTTGAATGTTGCCCAATCCCTCAAAGATTCTGCTATCTTGTAATCAAGCAGGACAAACTATAATCTACAAAAAGAGGAAGAACATCTCTATTGTCTTGTTTGGTGAAATTAGAGATTGTATAGTTGATGTACAGGACAAAAGTGGCTTTCACATCTGCTTGTTTGATACTTTGTCCAGCAAGGTCATCTTCTTGATAGCTCTGAAACCCCTGGCCTGTTCAGCTTCCAAAAATTTCCCCACATCCCCTCTACATATAGAGAAGGTAAGCCATCACTGTTCTTTCCCATACCCTTGTCTTGGTTCTTTTTGAAAATTTCCTATAGGATATTCTGAAATCCCTCTCTGTTTGTTCAATGGGACATCCCGACGGTGTTTTGCACTTGATGCTAAGTCAGCTACCAAGGCTCATTAAAAATATTTTGTGCCTGCGAGCAGAAAGCTGAGTAAAAAATGTGCCTGCAAGTAAAATAGGGTGCAACATATGGTCGGATATTGATAAATTGCTAATCTTCCTTTCTACTGAGTTCAACTCAGTACTGTTACACCAATTTATATTAAGTACCAAGAGTTTTGGAATTCTTCATATTTTCTCTCAATTATTTCATTCTAACGCTCCAACTGTTTTGATTTGGACACCTCAATTGTCAACTAATGCTCAATCAGAATTTCTAATCACCTCCTTGTGGTAAAAAAAATTGCAAACTGTAAATGCTTGCAGTTAATATTCATCCATGGGTTATAAAAATGAAATAAAAAGACTATCCTGTAAATAAAAGTTTATGAAATTCTTGCCCACTCTCCAGTTCCATTCATTTGGCTGACATCAAAATGTTTGATTCTTGTAACTTAGGTGATTAGGTTCCAGAAGCGGTTGCAAAACAAGTCGTAGATGAAACAAATGCTTATAAGTGTGCGCTATTTCAGATTCACATTTGGTTTCTTGTGAAGAGTATTATCTACTAACAGATGATTCAAACAAAGAGGGTGAAGGATTGAGTCAATCAACCCACACAGGGAAGGAAGGCAATGAGGGTGTGTTGCCAGACTTGCTTATGCAGTTAATCGGAAAGCTTGGGAACATGTCTATGAAAATTGACAAAATTCATGAAGTGATTAGAGATAAAACTAAGGAGAAATAAAGGCCAACAATAGCCATCACTCGAATAATTGATCCTTTTCTACCCGAGAGCTTTTTAATGGGCAGTTGCTGTTCATTAGCTGAAATCCTTACAAAATTTTGTGAATCTCGCTATGAAAACAAAAAATTAGCACATCTGAGATCTGCTAATCACGTCAAGGAAGTCAATACAAGCAAAACTGCTGATGAACCAGTTGAGAAATATGACAAATGGGAGCACTTGGTGGGAAAAAGATTGGCCGGATCTGCTACTACCTTTTCAAACTAGGGGGACGTGATACAGATTTTGAGCCTCTCGTATACCTCCATTTTGCGAATCAGTGGGATATTGGGGGCATTAACCATTCAAATAACTTTCTTGCAAAAGTTTTACTGTTTATGTCAAACAAAGTTAAGAAATCCTTGACAAATTTTTTTGCCTGCCCCCAAGAACAGACAGGTTTTTGACCAGCAGGAAAGATTGGAGCTGATAAAGCAACATAGAAGCACATATCTCAGCAGTTTGTAACGTTTACATTCCTGATTCTCCTGATGTGCTGCATGCATTTTCCCTTGGCCATCCTGCGGTAAAACATCATAACAGTGAAAGGGTTACTGAAAGCATTGCAGAATAACAATATGATATCGCCCAGTCTCAGTATCTTTTAGGGTCTTTGATGTTGCTTATTTCTCTCTTGGCGTTCCTGATAGAGTTTATTTATATTTTGGGCTCAGCGGGGATAAGAAGGAGCACCATGATAGTTATTCAAGTGGTCTGATTGGTATAATCGATTTCATCAAATAAAGACATCTTCAGTGAAAAAGGCTTTATAAATTAAACAATTCACTTCAAACTATGCAGGCTATTGGTTCTATTTACAAAATCTTTTTTTTAGGTGGTTGATTTTTGTTTTTTGTTTTAATGTTGTTAAGAGTTGTCAGGTTGCGACATTACACAGGCTTTTTCTCATTTCAAAGTTGAAAATCTTTGCTGTGAAAGATTCTATTCCAATTAAGTTCCTTTGAAAATTTGTGTCGATGCTGTAACGCTAAGGGTTCTTGTCATGACGGTGAAGAACCAGTTGATAACCAGCTCATTGGTGGAGCGATGGGCTAGGCCTAAGCCTCGAACAAGTAACGCACAATAGATACTCCTTCTTTGAACTTTACTCTAATGATTGAACAGAAAGACTAAATTTTATCGTGATCAGCATATACTTATAACATAAACGGAAGCTAATTAACAGGACAATATGAGCGTCACACTACATGTTGAAAGACAAACGCATTGCCATAAAAAGGCATTCACTAACACAACAGGACTTTAGCACGCTAAACAGTGCCACAGAAAATGTTACTTTAGCACGCTATGGGAACATTTCTAAATTGAATAAATATAAAATCCAAACCGTTACATATAAATCATGCAAATGTTCATCAGGGTGAATTCTTTACAACCTCTGCGTTTTACTTTTTTTCCCTTACTTCCACAAATGCGTTAGTTGCTAGACTGCATGCTCGACACCTTTAGCTGAAAGGAATTTTCCTTGCAGCGTAGTGAAGAGGAAAAAGGTAATAAATGTGAAAGAGGGAAGGGCGGCGAGCGCGAGAGTGTGAGTGGTGGTGGTGGTGAAATGAAAGTGTAATGAAGGTGGGTAGCGTTTTCGAGAAATGTTACAAGCTTCAAGTTTCATTTTTATCTTGTCTTGGGCTGTAAATCATGGCCATTACTTCTTTTCAAATGGAACCGGTAGAGTTGAGAGCATAGAGGAAGTTATAGAAGTTTGTGAATAAAAATCAGATTTCAGCGAGGTTGAATTTTATGATTACAAAGAACAGTAGATAGAAGGTTATTCATTTTGTTCAGATACAGAAAGTTGCTTTGAAGGTCCTCCTGTCTTTCATGTTTTCCTTCCAACTTTGATATTTCTCTATTTTATAATGCGTTCAAATCAACTTGTTGATAAATTTTACATTTTCTGAACATTGCCTGCCTGACTCAAACAAGGAGAGCAATCTCATATCCAATGCCATAATTTTAATGGCCAGATCTGAAATAGAAGTTTTTGAAATGTTTGGAAAGGCTTGCAATTCAGGTGCACGGTCCTATGTATTGGAGTGGCGTGAATCGTATTATGAATCTTAGCTCAAAGACACATGAATGTGAGCTCAAAGACAACAGAATATAAACAATTATTGTGCAAAAGAGCGAATCATTCCGTGGAAATCTCACGAGCCTTTGTACTTAGATACATGGAATTTTTTTTGTTTTTGTGACAGTCTTGTACCACTTTTTGAAGGAGTAAATTGCTTTTGTATTAAGAAAACTGAAATCTGGTAACAACAGATATTTTATGTCAATTTTTTCACTTCACTTTCCCTGTCAGTGATTTCTTTTTCCATCCTTTTTTCTTTTCAGTAGTTATGGTCACTGCTTCTTCCCAAAGATCATTGTCATCATTTCTTCAAGATGTGTGATGATATTATTCTTCTCACGTAAAGCCTTATTTGCTGTCTCTTGACTTTAGGTGTTTTTTGTATATTTTCAGACAAAAGCTTCTTAATTTGTTTTACTTCTAACAATTTATTTAATTTTTTCTCAACTCAGATCTTTTTTTCTGCTAGCTCTGGTGATGAAGTTGAAGTGAATCATGAACTTGAAGATAGCACAGAAAGTTTTGAAAATGAATTAAACAAGTTAAAGGAAAATGTAGAGAGAAGAAGTATGTTTGATTAAATTCTTCTACATTATGCTCTTTTTAGTTTAGGCATTATGTTTGTATTTTGCCAATCCTTTACAATGTTGAAATATTTTGTAAAGCATATTTCTGGTGTCTAATTCAAGTTGTCCTGTCTCTGATATCAGATCAAAGATTGGCAATACCTTTTGTGACTGCTGGCTGTTACAACTTTTGTAGGGTTAGATTGTGTTCCTTTTTCATGGATACTGCTTCTGAGATAGTGGCGGCTAATTAGTTTGAATTAAGTAGTCTTGCCATTAAAGCACAGCATCCCTTGGCACTCTTGTCACTGTTCTACTCTACTCTATGTTGAAGTTTACAATCATCTTGTCATGTTGATTTCCTTGCATGTTATGGAACTATATTTTATACTTGTGAAAATATTTTCTTGTGAAAGTTCTGCTTGATGTAAACAATTAGACTAAATTTGGGATGTTCCTATTGACTTTAACAGCAAGCAGAAAGCACGTTTTGTAAAAGTCTGTATTCTGCCATCAGGGAACATTTTATCGTAACAAGGATACTAAGATTGTTGTTGAAAATGTTTTACAGGGTCCTTTGGCATGGATAATGACTTTAACATGGATGATGAAATGTATAACGGAGTTGCAGATGCTGCTGAATCAAATCGGCTTGGCAACAATGGAAAGCAGCCGAATAACGATGACCTTCTTTATGACCCAGATATGGACGATGATGATGCGAAATGGATGGAAAGAGAAAGACAAAAACATATTCCAAAAATTCGTAAGTTTTTATTACTCACATTTTGTGATTTTACCACAATTGGTGGCTAAAACTGATAATAATAATTGTTCAGAGTGGACATAAATCCATGGAGTTTAATTTTAGAAACAGTGTCAAATAGTTTTAAACAATACAACGATCAAGATATTTGGAAACAGTGAATAATACGCCAAATATTTAGCGAAACTGTTCGAAATAGCTGCTAGATTGCCTAGAGAAAAGTTGCATCATTTTCACATCATAGGAGCTAAGCTGTTTACCTTGTTTTCTTTTATTGTATCTTTGTGGCCGGATGATTTTTATTTCATTTTAAGTTCATTTTTTAGTAGTAATGCTAAGGCAGTTTTTCTTTGTCTTATTGTAGCGCACAAGTCTCGTGAGCTAAAAGAGGGCGAAACAGCTTCTGACAAGACCAAGGGTAATGTTCGTAAGAGCGATGCAATACTCAGCTGTCCAGCTTGCCTGGTTACAGTGTGTATTGACTGCCAAAGGTAACTGAATTGCATGATTTTCTCTCATTGTCGTCTCTGATGTGACCAGATATTTAACTGTTTTTTATAAAATAAATATAAAAAGTTAAAGGGAGACGAGTCTTAAACTTAAGTTTGCGGTAAATAGATGTAGTTTGTTTCTGCTCGGATTCTCTAGTATTCTTACACTTGTATGTTTAAAAAGTTGTATTTAGCGTACATATTTCACTTTCAACCATTTTCATTATCTGGGAGTTTAAAAAAGACCTTGTCAAAAGTATGATTTTGATGTTAAGCCCAATCCTCAGGTTTTTACCTTGAGAAATTTCTTTTGGAATTTCAGAAACATTTTACTGTTTTTTGACGTCATAAGAGGCACCATATGACAAAAATATTACGGGGTCATTGTTAAAGTTTAAAATAGTGTGTTTCAAGTACATTTTTAGGTGAAGACGGTGACAGCATTTTTTAGAAGAGAACTTCCTCTAGGAGACACTTCCTCTACGAAAATTTAATAGTTCAAAAAGTTATGGAAATTCTTATAAAGAAGTTGCTTTATAAGTATCAAGCTATATGATTTCTTCTAGAGAAACATGCCCTTTATCACTTGACACAATATCTTCGGCTTCATACTTATTGTATCATGGTTCTATACCAGTTTTTATTACGCCTTCTGTCTTTTACGCAGACACGATATATACAAGACGCAGTATAGAGCAATGTTTGTGCTGCATTGCAATGTCTGCAGAGATGAACTGCTTCGATATGAAAATAAACGAAAAAATGCAAGGAAAAGAAAGGATGGGCCTGGAAAGTTAATACCAGCTACTGAAGACAGTAAATCGAGCGAAGTTTATAATCCTGTTAAATGTACTGAATGTGGAACTGTTTTGGCCGTCTATGATTGTGATGAAATTTATCATTTCTTCAACGTATTAGCAAGTCAAGCCTAACAATTATTCGAATTAACCTTTTGTAAATAGGTAGTAGAATTTGAGTTAACTTCACTACTTTAGTCACTCACAGCATTCTGAATGTTTATTGACTCTCAAATTTCTCGATTTTTGTTTGCGTACCTTTTCAAGACATGTCAACGCTTTTTAAAACAACTGGTTCAGAAGGAGCCCTATCTTCAATTCAAACTGAACATTAGAAATACTCCTTTCCACCATGTCAATAACAACCATAAAGAGTGCAATTACTAAGTAATTTGTGAAAAGACAACTTTGAAATTGTGTCATATTTTGATAATTGTGTCTTTTATATTCCATTTTGATATTTGTGTTTGTTTTGTTAATAAATTTGGGGGTCACAAGTCAATTGTTTGTAGAACAACAAACAACACGGCGACGAGAATACAATGTATTAAAACAGAATTTTTAAATAAATTAAGGTTAATAAATACTTTCGCCCCGGCATGCAGGGGCTGTATGAAAAATCTAATTGCCAGTCAAAATGAACCCCCATAATTTCCGTCACCGCTTGCCTTAATACCTTCCAATGCTGAACATCAATTATCCTACCTTTTTGTCTTTGTTAGTTTTGTTTTTTCTTTTGTTATTTCATATATAAATAGATTCCATATATTTTCATATAAGCTATTATTTTTGCTGAGGATCCCAGCAAGCATTTTACTTTTTAATTTGAGCTATACCAATTATTTAGAAAAATCTTGCTAAAAAAACAAGTACTAAGATTTGGTATATGCAAGCACATTTCTTACGTTCTGGGCAAAGTCGTCGCATCTTGATAGCAGTAGTTTCGAAACTAACCATAGGCGGTTTTGTTTTGCTTGAAAGAGCATAGTTAGGATTTACTTGAAAAGGGCTGCTGGCTTATGTTCCGGGATTGCCATTTTAGGTCAATATACATTTAAACCTCAGTTAGTCGAACTATCGCTATCTCGAACTGTTTTCCATCTAGAAATAGTCCGGATTGGTCGAATGAAATATCATATCGGTTTCGGCAAATAAAATTGGCAAGATCGAGGGTAATGCGATTAAATGCCCTGCAAAGAGTACAAGATAGCAAAAAAGCAAATTCTTATCTAGCATTAGCAAAATAGACAAGACTAGATTCTACTGCAAAATATTTGGTACTTCAACAGCCATTGACTGGCCAAAAAAGTTATCTGCAACATGATGTCAGAAAAATCCTACCCTTTCTGTGGTTCCTCTGACTGAGTAAAAAGAGAACACTATTTTCAAAATTCTTAATCTCAGATTTCTAGCCTTTGACTACCCTTTCTCGGAGTTTTTCGGAACTCGCATGATATACGTTTGAACAACAAAGTACGAACGACGTTTGAACAACGAACTGAGCCGGCCGGGTGGAGAGGCCAAGTGCTATTGATCGAACTTGAACTTAGAGCTTCAAAACAGGGCACCTTGTTTTTGCTCACAAAAAAATTGGGGGGAAGGCATGGCTGTTCCGGCCCCCGGGGGCGTGCGTCCTATTGAGCTTTGAGGAGCATCGAGCGGTTCCAAATTTTTGAGAATCGAGGCTGCATCCAAACGAGGTGCAGTAATTACAACTGGCTTCCTCAATCAATTTCTCAAATTTCAGTTGGATAGAAAGTTTCCTTTGCACGCATTGAAGCTCGTAAGTACATGTCATCCTGCTATTTGTTTGCAAATGAAAATGAGTATTGCTCTTAAACTTGTATGGTCAAGTCAAATCATTAATATCAGGCTTTTTGGGTTTGGACTTACCTAATAAAACATTATCAACGGTGATGAGATGATAACAAATTTTGCTACCCTCCCTCTCTCTGTACAAAGAAAAGGTGTTTTGTAATCCATGCCAGCCATGGGGATGGGAAAGGGGGCACTTTGATTACCTTTGAAATGTAGGGCTCACTTTTTCCTCACTGTAGACATTAGAGAGGTTGATTTCAAATGATACATTTTCATGATACAGAATTAAAATTCAAGAATCCATTTCATTTAGCAACATTACAAGGTAGATATGAAAGAACTATTTACAAAAGCACAGCCTTTATCATCAACATAAAGAAGCAACAAATTATGGAAGAATTTTAATGAAATGTTGCCTAGGACACCAGGATGAACCTGATAAGTATCCAAAAAAGTATACACTTATACCAAATTGCACACTTGCACACTTGAAATTTTGGGCTTGCACACCCGAGATCTCAGTTGAAATTGCCATACTCTTCAATCTGGTTTTGGGGCAATACCTTTTTACATTATAAATATCTAGCATTGAGGATTCTAAGCATTGACCATTGCAAATACTCTCATTCAAAAAATATCCACACATAAAACTCTTTTTTGTACTAATGCATTAACATATTAACTCTTGACTCAAACTCAAACTCAACAACTTTTTTCAGCAAATCAATTAATTACATATTACGTCATTTAGGTAAGTTGTTTAAAATTCAATTATTAAATCCAAAATTACAATAAGAACATTAAAGAAAGAGAAAACAACCCTATATAAGAATAAATCAGCTGACGGACACATGAAAAAAACTCAAGATAGAGCTATCAAAGCCATGTGCCCGGATGACATGATTTGACGACAAGTTTACAATTCATTTTGGTTTGCATAACAGTAAGAATGAGATAATAGAAATGTAAATGACACTAGAAAAAAAGCAAGGGAAATGAATAAAGAAAAAGAAAAAAAAACTATATTAAAGATAAAAAATGGGAAAATTAGGTTTATAGTATGTGCTAGTATTTTCATTATATTCGATTGGATGCTGATATTTATCTAAGGGGTACTTTGGTCCATTAGCATCATTTTTTCAGACAATCATTTTTAAGATAAGCTCAACCCTTCTTTCTCCTGATTCATCTGGTATGATGATCTGTTCTGCCAACATCAGGTTCAAGACAAATCTCTCCAGCACAGAATTATTGGGAGTCTGGGCAGACTGTCAAAATGCTATGTAAGCAATGTCCAAAGGCAAGAGTAAACAATGCTGGATGTTTTGATTTTTCCTTAGGCACCTTCAGTTTGTGATAAAATCTTTTAATCAAAATTCTAGTAAAGTCAATAGGGTTATATAACACATAATATTCCAGTCGGTCATAGTAATTCTGAGGTTTATCAAATTATATTGTAACCCTTGACAAAGTTTGATGCTTTTATCACTATCATCATGAAATAAACTACTTGTAGATTGTTTTTTGAAACTATTAGATTGTTTTTTTATTTTCAATTTCAGAGTTACTCTCAACACTTTTGAACAATAATTATGGTATGTTTTGTGTGCCTTTTAATTCTTTTTAGCATGATGGTTTTTATAAAAAATTGTCTCTTTGTTCATATTTTGTTTTATGTTATAAACTTTTGGATATCAAACTTTCGGACAAAAATTTGTCTGAAGCTTTTTTTATCAGAGATCTATGTTTGTTGAAAAGTTTTTAGTGCTAAAGTTTCAAATTCTAAGAATTTCAAGAAAAACAGAAAAAATGCATTGAATAATCAAGTAATTGGCCATAGGTAATATTTTTCATTGAGGATGTTCAGCCTTTTTCAACAAGAAAAATGTGGCTCTTGAAGATTCTCAGTATACTTCTTTTTCAGAGGCTGTGATGCAGCTTTAAGCTTTGCAACGCTAGCCCAGCTTTTCTATTACACCAATATTTTTGAAGCTACAGCTGGTTTCAGCATCTCCATTATTTTCTCCAGGCTTTTTCCACCCTTGTCAGGATCACCATTGCAGATTAACCTTTCTCTAATCCTTCTCTGTCTGCTGCCTTGTCCTCAGCGACACCAACCTCCTTCATTTCTTTGGCCTTCCCTGCTTTTTCTCCCTACCTTTATGCTTCTTATTCTTCTACCCGTGTAGGTAAATACCTACAATATTGTCTCTTCTGGCTACATATCCTAACAATCTAAGCCTAGTCTCTCTGAGTTTTCCTTTTAGCACACCAACTGATAGTCCTTTCATCACCCACTCATTCTCACCTTATTCCATCTTTTAGTTAGTTAGGCCCAATGACCATTGCAACATTTTCATTTCTGCTACCTGCATCTTCCCTTCCTGTCGTTTTGCCCCTGTCTTCCAATCTACCCCACCAGAGTTATCCATTCTACTTTTTTCTCATCTCTGTGCACACTACCACATAGTTTGCGAACAGCAATTCTCATGGTGCCTCTTTCTGCACATCTGCTGTTAGGCAGTCCATGATAAGGCAGAAAGGAATGGACTCAGGGCAGAGCCTTGTTGCAACCACACTGCTGTTTCAAAGTCTTTCATGTTTCCAGCTGTACTTCTTACTCTTGTCTTGCATGTCCCGAATGAGTCTCATGTATTTCTTGTTCACTCCCTTCAGCCTGTGAAAGTTCCACAGTTCCTATCATGGCACTCTATTGTAAGCTTTTCCAATTCTATGAAGACACAGTGCAGATCCTCCTGTTCTTCTCTGTATTTTTTCATCACTTGGCGAAGTGCAAAGAAAGTTTCAGATGTACTTTGACCTGGCGTAAAAGCAAACTGTTGCTGCGACTATGTTACCTTCTCTCTCAGTCTTCTATCTACGATCCTCCCCCGTATCTTTGCAGTACGTGTCATTAATTTCATGACCCAGTAGTTTCCACAGTCTTGGACATCGCCTTTATTCTTAAAAATGGGTACTGGCTCTCCAGTTATCAGGCATTTGCTTCGTCTCAATAATATTACCAAATATTGTTGTCAGACATTCACTATCTGTCTTGCCGAATGCTCTCTTTGCCACCACAACCTCTTCCTAACTCGCATCCTCTACCTCTGTTTCTTCTGCTGGCTGTATCACATTTTCTTCTCTTAGATTTTCAACATCCATTAGCACCTTTAGTACTCCTTCCACCTTTCTCTGATTTCTGTATCTCCTGTAAGTACCATCCCACCAGTGCCCTTTATAATTTTTGCTTGATACACGCCCGTCAACTTTTTGTTCCTGTGCTTTGCTATTCTCATTGCTTTCTGCTGTCTGTCTTTTCTCTCCAAGCTGTTAAGTGAGTCCCTGTATCCCGCCCCTTTCACTTTAGCAACCGCCATCTTTGTTACCTTGTTTGCCATCTTGAAACCTGTCCTATTCTTATTTCCCTTGGAACAAATATGGAATAAAAAAAAGTTTCTGTCTGAATGTTTTTGTCCGAGATTCTCAAATATACTTCCAAAGGTTTTTGTCAAAACTTTTCTGACGGAATTTTTTTTTTATTTCAATGTAAGCCTTTAGATGCACTTAATTACGTCAATATGAAATCTGATTTGAAGTATGTAGTTGTGAATTTGCTCTTAATTACTTTTAATTACAGGCTTCTAACTTGAAATTATGTGACCTGGATCCTGAGCTCAATGATAAACTCAAGAAGTTTCGCAAAAACAAAGAAAAAAGCAATGCAGCTATAATTGGTTAGTCTTTAAAACCTGTGTTTAAAAATGCCTTGGATTGATAATGTTTTATCAAACATTTAGTTTTAAGATAAGATAAAACAGGCCACTACAACTGGTTTTTCCACAGTGACTTCTAGGGCACTAAGGTGACTTCCATGAACGCACAGTCTTAGGTGCACAAGATAGCAAGAGATAACACTAAAGCAAAATGTATTCTAAGCTTAAACTAAGAAAACAATTCAAATGATGTTCTTCAAAAGGGATAGATAAGATAAATGCCTGTAAATACTACACATTGCCCATCTCTAATGAGTATAAAGATATTCTTTTTCTAATGGCGTGCATTGACTTTGGCACAGGGCCGGCAAAACGTATTTGAAAGTGGGGGGGGGGCCAAATATGAAGGTCTTGAAAGGGCTTAGGTTAGGCCAAAAAATTTTAGGATTATTGTATTTTAGGGATGGCCAGAGACTGTATCTAAAATTGATTTTTACTGAAGGAAAATCCAAGGCAATATCTTTAAGCTTTGTTTAATCAATATGTACAAGTTCAACAAAAACAGGAGAACTATCAACTAATATAAAAGCAAATTAAGCAATTTGTACACTTGGGAAATTGTTTTGTAACATCTGATCTTAAATATTTCGGAAAAAAGGTGCTTTTAACAAAAATCAAAAATAGTTTTAATAGAATTTACAATTGCGTCTAGATTTTCCTTTTTAGTAGGAAAGGATTATCGATACAATCAAGTGTTGAAGTTTTCTTGATTTTACTTTTTTAGAACAAATCTTTTCTCATGTCCTCAAAAATTTTCTTTTCGTCAGTTTCTTTCCCTGCCACATCGCTAGCAATTTCTCTCTTTTTGCAATGTTCCCGAGAAATTTGTTGTTAACAAATAGACCTTGTGAGCAATGTTTAGGCAATAGAAAAAACGAAACTCCGTCAATTTGTGCTGGCACCAAGTTATTCTGGATCAGGTTTCTCGATCTATTTCCTAAGCCAAGCTGTTTCTCGCTGTACAACTTAGACAATGACCGATTTCTTTCATCCTATTTCCCATATTCAAATTTATATTGTCTTCTATGATAAAGTCATACCAACCAAGCTAAATCTAAATGCATATGTAAGGGATAACTCAACACAGTTACTTACAGAATGCTATAATACATTTATTTCCACTTTTGCCTAAAATTTTCCTTTAGCTCTGCAGAAAAGTGGGGGGGGGGCATGGCCCACCGCCCCCCCCCCTCCGCTTTCGCCGGCCGTGTGGCAAAAAGACTTGGTTTGGCCCAGTTGCATCATCTTTGGCTTTTCATGATATTTTCTTATAGTTTGATAAAGTAGTTATTTCGTTTTTCAACAAGTGACATACTTTTATAGTAATTTCAACTACTGTTTGCTTGTGTCATTTCTGAATTCAAAGATACGCCAAAAATAGCAACATTTTCTGGCCTTATTAGAAGCTGATAACATGCTTCTCTTGTAAAATGCCACTAACACATCAAATTCGTCTTTGACCTTTTCATCTGTTCAAGATAGGAATAGCCCGCGGAAAATCGTTCCGCACCACATCTCCATGCTTTGCACTGACTTGCAGGACAAATATCATGAAAGCTTCAGTCACATATTGGTTCGCAGAACTCTTTGGGGTTATCAATGAACCATAATGTTTTAACCCGGTCCCTGAGCTGTAAAGAGGATCTACTTTTCACAATTTTGATTTAATCTGGGGCCCTCTATGTGGAAATATTTGCAGCCGTGAGACCCCCATAAAACCTCATAATTTGCCGCACAGCTCCTATTCAGTAATAGAGACTGCATTCCTATTAATCAAAAATGTTTAGTTGTCTATGCTTTTTGTGCTTATATGGAATTTGCTAATGTTTTGAATGCACTTTTTCAGTCTGGTAGCAAAGATTATTTAAAAAACCATTTGAAAATATGATATCCATATTAAGAATGTTTCTTTCCCTCCTCTTAAAGCTTTGATTGATACAGAGGCTCGGCAAATTAAGGAAGACACTTCTATTGCGGAAGAATTACAGGTAAGTTACTTAGGATTTTTCTTAGCTCTGTATATTTTCTACTAAAAGTAGATATAGTGACTGCCGCAGTACAATTTTAGTTAAAATGACTGTCATTTTGGTGTTCTTTGGCTCAAATTTATCATTCAAAGTGATTTATTTCCCAATAACTGGACTGTTTGATACCCCATTTTTGTTTGCATTTCAGTTAACTTTTACTTTAGTGAACAGAATAAGGGTACATAACCTTAAAGATAGTAATGGGAGAATGATTATAATTATGATGCACATATGTGATTATGATGCACATAGTCATAATGATTTTGATTATGATACACATACATGATTATGATACACATAGTCATAATGATTATGATACACATTTGTGATTTGAAAATGGCTTTGAAAAAAGCAAACATTTTACAACATACTTAAAGCTTTTTCGTCTGACACTCCTCAGAGCATAAAACGTCAGAATAAGGTTCCGAAAAAACACGTTTGAAAAATATATACCCAGTTGTGGATCGAAATAGGCCAATCAGAAAAACGCAAGCACAAGACTGGTATAGTTGACCAATCAGTGCCGCGAGCCTAAAGAAAAATTACCAATGGAGTCCAAGAGAGAAAACGAACTCCTTTTGTCTACACAATGGCGGCTTTTTCGTTTTTATGTAGATTGACTCCAAAACTGCTAGATGGAAAGACGACCGGGCTCTGCCAATTATCCGAAACATGTCATCATTATAGAGTTTTGCACAATCTGGGTTGTCTAAAAGATGTTGACCAATGGCAGAATCACTTGTTTTAACAGTGTTTCTAGACCTACAAGATCGAGGAGGCTGTTCTCTTTGAGGGGCAGTTTTGTTTCGTACGTTGGAAGGAACATGCTGTTTTATCCTATCCCCCAATCTTTGGGTTGTGCGCCCTACGTAGCCAGAATCACACTGGCACGTAAATTCATAAATGACGGAACTTTTTTGTTTGGTAGGGACGCAATCCTTTTGAATGGATGGAAGGGCTCTCCTAGTGCTGTAAACAATCCGAGGATTGACAGCAAAGAAACAATTGGTTATGGCTTGCCTAATTTGACTCTCGAATCGCAAGGAAGTGTTACCAATCCATGGTAGTTTCAAATAAACTGGGCACTTTTGCGGACCAAACTTTTGAACAGCCGAAAAACTTGCGATCTTCTCCTTAGTATAAGATAAAATGACGTCTTCAGGATAGCCGTTGTCCAAGAAGATCGTTTTGAGTTTTTCCAGTTCAGCGTGCAGTTTAGATTTCGAGCAGATCATAAGTGCCCTATGTACTAATGTTTTGACAAGGTTGACTTTGCGTTGTTTGGGCAAAATGAATTCCAGCGTATGTACTGACCGGTAAAAGTAGGCTTGCGATATACACTGGTAAGAAATTCAGTGTTAGACTTTTCGACCAAAACATCTAAAAATGGTAAGGAATCATTTTCTTCCTTTTCAAACGTAAACTGGAGGGCTGGGTGTAGGCTATTTAGGTGTTTTAGAAAAATATCACACTCAGCCTCTGTTTTGAAAATGGTATATGTGTCATCCACATACCGAAAATAGACACCTGGCTTTTGGTCGTAGTCGAACAAACGCTCTTCATGAAAGCCAACAAAGATATTGGCCAAGGCAGGTCCCAGAGGGCTACCCATAGCGACACCATCCTTTTGTTGGTACATTTCATTGTTAAAACTGAATTCAACTGAACGTGTTGCAGTTTCCATCAGTTCAATGAATACTTCCTCTGGGAATGGTGGGCTATTAAGCTCGCTTCGGTACAAAGCGTCGGCACTTATTTTGATGGTCTCACTCAAAGGAACATTTGTGAAAAGACTACTAATGTCAAAAGAACACATGAAAGATGTTTCGTTTTCGATGTTCAAGTTTTGCATGAACTCAGCGAACGTAAAAGAATCCTTGATGCAATGTTTTGAATATTTTTGAAGAACAGGGTCCAAAACTTCAGAAAGCCACTTAGCCAGTTCGTGTTGTGCTGAGCCAATCATAGACAAGATAGGTCTAAGTGGGACGTTCGGCTTGTCTATTTTAGGGAGGCCATACATTTGTGGTCGTTGAGAGCCCGTGGGTCTTATCCTATCATAAATTTCTGTAGCCAACATTTTTGAGTTGACCAGTTCCAACAAACGTTTTTGGAGTTTCCGCTCTAGTTTGGCCGTTTTGTCATGTGTTTCAACATCACCCAATTTAGTAAATTTTTCTTTGTCGTGGAGAATTACCTCCATTTTATTGATGTAGTCCTTTTTGTTTAAAATTACCACTCCAGACCCTTTATCAGGTTTTGTAATAAAAATGTCATTGTTAGCCCGTAGAGATTTTAGTGCTTGGAAATGTTCTCTATGCAAAAGAAAATCTGAGTGGTCGATGGGAGAGCCGCTGTAAGCGTACGCCAAATCGCTTAGTCGTGCTCGTAATTTGTTAAACTCCAAAGGGTTAGAAATCTCGTGCTTAGCAAGTTGAGCGTGTAAAATTTCGAATTCAGCAAAGAGTTCCTCTCTGTTGATTGTTAGACCTATCTTGTCTATGATTGGCTCAGCACAACACGAACTGGCTAAGTGGCTTTCTGAAGTTTTGGACCCTGTTCTTCAAAAATATTCAAAACATTGCATCAAGGATTCTTTTACGTTCGCTGAGTTCATGCAAAACTTGAACATCGAAAACGAAACATCTTTCATGTGTTCTTTTGACATTAGTAGTCTTTTCACAAATGTTCCTTTGAGTGAGACCATCAAAATATGTGCCGACGCTTTGTACCGGAGCGAGCTTAATAGCCCACCATTCCCAGAGGAAGTATTCATTGAACTGATGGAAACTGCAACACGTTCAGTCGAATTCAGTTTTAACAATGAAATGTACCAACAAAAGGATGGTGTCGCTATGGGTAGCCCTCTGGGACCTGCCTTGGCCAATATCTTTGTTGGCTTTCATGAAGAGCGTTTGTTCGACTACGACCAAAAGCCAGGTGTCTATTTTCGGTATGTGGATGACACATATACCATTTTCAAAACAGAGGCTGAGTGTGATATTTTTCTAAAACACCTAAATAGCCTACACTCAGCCCTCCAGTTTACATTTGAAAAGGAAGAAAATGATTCCTTACCATTTTTAGATGTTTTGGTCGAAAAGTCTAACACTGGATTTCTTACCAGTGTATATCGCAAGCCTACTTTTACCGGTCAGTACATACGCTGGAATTCATTTTGCCCAAAACAACGCAAAGTCAACCTTGTCAAAACATTAGTACATAGGGCACTTATGATCTGCTCGAAATCTAAACTGCACACTGAACTGGAAAAACTCAAAACGATCTTCTTGGACAACGGCTATCCTGAAGACGTCATTTTATCTTATACTAAGGAGAAGATCGCAAGTTTTTCGGCTGTTCAAAAGTTTGGTCCGCAAAAGTGCCCAGTTTATTTGAAACTACCATGGATTGGTAACACTTCCTTGCGATTCGAGAGTCAAATTAGGCAATCCATAACCAATTGTTTCTTTGCTGTCAATCCTCGGATTGTTTACAGCACTAGGAGAGCCCTTCCATCCATTCAAAAGGATTGCGTCCCTACCAAACAAAAAAGTGCCGTCATTTATGAATTTACGTGCCAGTGTGATTCTGGCTACGTAGGGCGCACAACCCAAAGATTGGGGGATAGGATAAAACAGCATGTTCCTTCCAACATACGAAACAAAACTGCCCCTCAAAGAGAACAGCCTCCTCGATCTTGTAGGTCTAGAAACACTGTTAAAACAAGTGATTCTGCCATTGGTCAACATCTTTTAGACAACCCAGATTGTGCAAAACTCTATAATGCCGACATGTTTCGGATAATTGGCAGAGCCCGGTCGTCCTTCCATCTAGCAGTTTTGGAGTCAATCTACATAAAAACGAAAAAGCCGCCATTGTGTAGACAAAAGGAGTTCGTTTTCTCTCTTGGTCTCCATTGGTAATTTTTCTTTAGGCTCGCGGCACTGATTGGTCAACTATACCGGTCTTGTGCTTGCGTTTTTCTGATTGGCCTATTTCGATCCACAGCTGGGTATATATTTTTCAAACGTGTTTTTTCGGAACCTTATTCTGACGTTCTATGCTCTGAGGAGTGTCAGACGAAAAAGCTTTAAGTATGTTGTAAAATGTTTGCTTTTTTCAAAGCCATTTTCAAATTCTGTACCGCAAAAAAATTGTTCACATTTGTGATAATGATACACATAGTCATAATGATTATGATTATAATACACTTAGTCATAATGATTATGATTATGATACACATATGTGATTATGATACACATAGTCATAATGATCATGATTATGATACACATTTGTGATTATGATACACATAATCATAATGATTATGATTATGATACACATATGTGATTATGATACACATAGTCATAATGATCATGATTATGATACACATTTGTGATTATGATACACATAATCATAATGATTATGATTATGATACACATATGTGATTATGATACACATAGTCATAATGATCATGATTATGATACACATTTGTGATTATGATACACATAATCATAATGATTATGATTATGATACACATTTGTGATTATGATACACTTAGTCATAATGATTATGATTATGATACACATATGTGATTATGATACACATAGTCAAAATGATTATGATTATAATACACATAGTCATAATGATTATGATTATGATACACATCCGTGATTATGATACACATAGTCATAATGATTAGGATTATAATACACATAGTCATAATGATTATGATTATGATACACATTTGTGATTATGATACACATAGTCATAATGATTATGATTATAATACACATAGTCATAATGATTATGATTATGATACACATTTGTGATTATGATACACTTAGTCATAATGATTATGATTATGATACACATATGTGATTATGATACACATAGTCAAAATGATTATGATTACAATACACATAGTCATAATGATTATGATTATGATACACATCCGTGATTATGATACACATAGTCATAATGATTATGATTATAATGCACATAGTCATAATGATTATGATTATGATACACATTTGTGATTATGATACACATAGTCATAATGATTATGATTATGATACACATATGTGATTATGATACACATAGTCATAATGATTATGATTATGATACACATTTGTGATTATGATACACATAGTCATAATGATCATGATTATGATACACATTTGTGATTATGATACACATAGTCATAATGATTATGATTATGATACACATTTGTGATTATGATGCACATAATCATAATAATGTATAGATATACACATTAATGATTGCATCGCTTGAAGAATTCATGTTTTCTTGCCAATTGATTGCCCACTTTTTTCACGATATATAAGTAACTTAAATCCTTTAATGAAGGTAAGTGTTTCTGTTTTTGGCAACACATTAAATACTTTGAGCAGTGAAATGAATATTTCCTTTAGGACTTTGAAAGTCCTACGATTGAAGAAGTTGCAGAACTATTGCCTGTTCACCAACCAAGGTAGTTTATCGCTTCGCTTCTTTCAGCCTCTAATTTGATACTGGTAAATACCGAATTAGCGATTTTCCTGCATTCTTTCTTTGACCTTAAATGACATTTCTTACATTGAATTGCTAAAATCTGTTTTACTTTTAACTAATTTCACTTTAATTGAAAATAAAAGATAGATTATCAAATTAACAATTTAAAATTGATATATTTCTATTTAGCGCTTCGTCTAGCAGAACGCTTCCTTTCCTAAATTGATACTGTAAAATTTATGTTCATTTTGAAAGAGTTTATCTTTGCATCTCTTCTGTTTTAGATTCGTTATCTACAGAAATGTTTTTAACCATGACGACGGACGCGTCTCATACCCTATGTGCTTCATATTCATTTCCCCAAGCGGTCAGTTGAATTTTTTCTTTGAGGTTTTCTTTTGTTGGTTTCTCTGTAAACTCGTCATCATGCACCAGCCAGTTGATAAGATATCGTCGTTGTCAGAATTATACTAGAAATGATATTTTGCGCCATTCGAAAAAATTTTCAAATTATAGACCCTTCTATTTCAGAGAATAAAAAGCGATTGACGCAAGAATAAAGCCAGGTTTTAGCTGAATTTATAGGGCCCATCTAAGGGCTTTTGCGAAGATGGATTTTGCTAAGTAAGAATTCTTAAGTAAAATAGTGGCTTTTTATTTTGCAGGTTGTAAGCCAGAGATGCAGATGATGTACGCAGGATCAAAACTTCATTTTATCAAAGAAACTAATATGACAAAGGTTTGATTTATTTTTAGTATTTATTGTAACGCACATCGCTTTGAAAAATAGCCATCAAAAGAATTTGCTCGGTATAGCTTTACGGATTCTTTAGAGATACCTGATTTAGTCTTTCAAAATAGGCCATCAGATACGACGTGCAATTCCAAAATTTTGCCACTTTACAATTCCAGATAACTTTCTACCCATGTTGAAATTTTTTCAAGGAGAAGTAATGGAAAAGCTAATTCTACATATGATAGATTGAAAAACAATTATCTGTGAACGTTCATGTTGAAATTATTTTTTATCAAAGACACTAAAAGCTATTAGGCATGTAACGTTGAGCCAAGAAATCGAAGATAGTCGATTTTTAGTGCAGTGCAATTGCAATAAGGCCTCTTTCTTTAAGGCAGCAGCAGTGGTGGACAATTATTTGGTGGCAAGCCTATTGTTTGTTTAGATGACGTCACATTTGACCATTATTTTAGAACAAAAGACCATTGTCTTCCAAAATATTTGGGGTTAACCGCCCTTCTTGGCCCAAAGTATCCACCACTGAGCAGCAAGGGTGTAAAGCCATGTAAGATGACTGGGCTTCTCTTGTTAGTGCCAAAATAGCTCTTGTCTACCTCATGCTGTCGTAATTTGACAATTTTTTGCGAGGGCCCTCCTTTCTCATCCCTACCACTGCAACCCTGAGCTGGGCAGGTAGTGAGCGTTCTATGAACCGATAAACTTCTATACCTCAACTCCCCTGATTGTTAGCATTCCCCTGATTTAAAAATTCTTAAGTTGATTTCTATTTGAATGTTTAAGGGACTGAATTTTTAGTAAACTATATCCTTGCTACCATCTTTTTGCATTTCCGAGACGAGGCATACTATTTTTCAAGTCATGTTCATTTCTAGGTTTTTGAAGTTCGAAGTATAGAGGAACTCACCAACGATTGGCTGAAGAACAAGCTGTCATTCTTCTAATAAAATGTATGCTATTTGGTATTGTACTTTCAGGGGTTTTCTAATCAACATAGTTCTTACTCAATTACTTCATAATTCTTAATATTTATTGTTATGATTAATGGAATTTTACTGTTCAAGGGCTTTAAATTGTTCAAGGACTGTTCAAGGATTTTACTGTTTTATGTAGTCAAAAGATTGCTAAGTTTTCTACTAAATAGAACAAAATAAAACTGTTATCATAGATTTAAATTACGATATCATAATTTTCTATATAAAAAATATTAGTTTGTTTATTGGTTATATTGAATTGGGTATTTCGTATAAATTATCCTGAAATATTTCGGTTTAACATAGTGGAATAACACTGAATGTAGAAAATTGGCTTTCGAGCAAAAAATATCTGAAAGGCTGAACTCTTGCATGTCTTTTTTTCTTACTTGGGAGCACTTTTTGCCATTTTTGATATATCAAGAAGCTGTCCATATTCTCGACAAGATAAAAGCTTCTAAACAACTATACTAGAACAAACCTTTCAAGAATTGGTTCTTTCTGGAAGAAGATTTTTTTGACGTTGGCAGAGGAATTAAAGTAGCCCTAGAGTGGTCATATTTATGCACAGAGCAACGGGACTGGAGTACTTTGACGCTCAACTGTCATTTCACTGTTCATTAGCAGTTCACGTATGAACATTCTATCGCAAGAAAGACTTTTTGGTTGATTATCCAAGCAAATTTGTTGTTCTCAGATCACAGGCATTAGATTTCAAGAGAAAATAGCATTTATCCTCATCTTAAGGAATGTCATACAATCCGCATAATATACAGAAAGTTTCTTCAGGTCTTCAAGTATTATTGTTTCTGAATCATCTTTTTATCACGAGCAAGGAATCTCATTCTAATAATTGCCACTATATTTATATGAAGCATGAAACAAATTTCAACGTTGATTTTAATTGCATATGTACACATTCTTTGTTTTTATCTACTTTATTCGGCGTTTCAGGTTACCAACAGATACCCTTATGAAGTTGTTTGTAACAATTTGTTTAACAGAGTTTCAGTCGCTGTCTAATTTCAAGCCATGGGAGTTCTGGATATTTCAAGTTCTGGATATCTCAAGTTTTAGAAAAACCATGTTTTAAAAACCCATTTCATGATCTTGACTCAGGCTTGTGAAAGCCTGTCTCTTGTCGCCTAGTCTAGTAAGCGGTACACGCAATTTTAACAAGGCGACATGTCTATGTGGTTTGATAGAATCTCTCATAAAATTCCACAGATATCATATCTAACTCCACAAATACTGTTTATAGGTGAGGTGGTAGCAGAGTTGCCTTGATTATTTCTCTATTAACAGCAATTTGTAGCCTTTCATCGCCATACAACAAAACATTAAGTAGCATTCTGTTTGAAAAGTTGATAGGCCATGCGATAATGCACCGACACCTTTGAGAAGATCGCGTCTATAACATAAATGGAAGAACAGCAAGAAATGATCTGTATCCTCAACGCCATCATTTATAGAGCACATTGGATCAATTGTATCTTTGAAATTATATCAAATCTTATGCAGGTTCAGCTTACTTCAACGAGCACGTAAGTGGGTAAGAAAGAGCTGCTAGGTGTTTTGGAACATCGATACTTAATTCTGGTTTAGGAGTGGGGCAAAGTTACAGAAGCTTATTCTTGAAAGAAGTTATTGTAGGTAATAATCAAACTTCTGGGGCGAGTTTGTTAGAAGGTGTGGTATGGAGATGAAAGCTTGCTCTGTAACTTGCGGTTCTTGCACATACGAAAAATTCCTAATGAGGCCACGAAAAGTGCATACTTACTTTTTGTGTATGCGTTCCCATAGAAATAGTAGAGCTAGAATGCGCGCTCTATTGTTCGCCTATTGTTTTCTGCGTAATACCAATGGGCAGCAAAGATGGTAGCAACATGTTGGCAAAAAGCTTTTGTGGCGTACGTTGTACACAAATAAGAAGTTATGGACTTACCGATTCTGCGTGGTGATATGAGGAGAAAAATTTCATGAAAACTTTCCAGCGCCAAAATAGAAGAAGGTAAGGGACGTTTTTACTTTTTCCTTACGCCACAGCGAGTCGTTTTACGGTTTTTCTTCGTATTTTGTTTGGACTCCTTTCTTCACCAAATTTCCTTCCCTAGGGCACCTTAGTAATTAATTATGGATTTATTCAATTTCAAGTTCATTATCATTAGACAACCTTCAACCATTATAAATGGGTATGCGATATTATTTTTGAGTAGTATTTAATAAATTCCTCAAGTTTTTGGCCTAGCAGAAACGCGGAAGTTACTGGTAAACAAAATTGTCAACAACAGCGTGATTCAGTGTCTAGAAAGTCTTGTTGAAACTTGATGCATTCGAGACTAATAACAAAATTGGCTTAAATTACCTTGAAATCAAATCCCAGCCGTTAGGTCTCTGACAAAATTTCGAAGTTTTGAATCAACTTTTTCCAGTTCAAATTAATATATGTAAACAGCGTTGTTGTTTTCAGGTCTCTTTGTATGCTGTCCAAGTTTGCTTTTTGAGTTAAGCATATCAAAGATATTGTTCATCAGAAGGACGAAGTCGCTGCTTGCTTTGCTGTCCTTAAATTCTTGCAACCCCAGATTTCTCAAAAAAGTTATTGCAGATGCCACAGAATGGCTTAAAGTCTGTGCTGCAACACTGATAGTATGTCATTTTTTGTGTTCTATAGAGTGCAAGAACATACTACCAAGATATTATTTGTCCAGCTGGGGTACAAAAGATCTTGATGGTGGAAAAGGCATTTCTTGCAAGCTTCAGCATGTGGCAGGTATCAAGAATTACAAAGATATTTTCACTGGGGTATGGATATGGAAATATGGAAATAATGTGCAAAGGTTTTTTATATCACATCCAAGTTTCTCAGCCATGCTAACATTCTTAAGAGCACAATCAAAGATGACTGCATGAACTTTAGCTTCCCTTCTAGCAAGGAGGTCAATTGCTTCACTTATGAGCTGTTTCAATATTTTTGCATTTAGGGTTATTTGTTAAAAAGTACCCAATAGGGACATACCATGGTATTTATTCAGGTCAGTAGTTTTTTGCAACCACCCCCCCCCCACCCCTGCTTATTATAATCCAGTATAAAAAAACAGAATAGGAATGGAAATGTTACCCCATCTATGGATTTCCTCATAAACTCATTAAATAAAGAGATATATGGTTCCACATATTTAAGTACGTATTTACTGAAATACATAAGAATACGTTCATGTCCCCCCTTCCACCAAAGTTTGTTAGGAAATTTTGCTACAATATAAGAAATTGTAGGAGAATTTATCTTCGGCAGCCGAGTAAATTCACCTATTGCACCCTCTTTGAAGAATTAATGCCACGAACCATAAGATGACTTTTAATTTGGTTCACTGCCCTCCCGATTTTATGTACCTACTGTCTGTTTGTAAACATAGTAGAAATATCAATGATGAAAATCATTTCGAATAGTTAATAAAAGTATCATAGAATTTTTGGAAGATATTTTTTTCTATTCAAATTCCTATCAAGAATAACGAGAAACACCGTACACACAACGGGCCTACTTACTTGTAGAACGATATGTTTGTTTGACCGGGAAGTAAGTCTTTTATAGGATTCCATCGATTCTGGCAGCCGAAAGCAGCACACGACACTACCATTTCTTTTATCAAAGTTCGATTATCATTCAATGTTAGCAACAGTGCATTAGATTAATTAGAAATTCAAGCGCGTATACGGTGACAGGGGTAGGCAATACTGTCCGCTGTGATTTCCCGCGTATTTTTTTGCCAACTTGTTGCTACCATTTTGGATCCCCATAGTTCGCACGCGTCACGTGATAGACCGCGCATTCTAGCGCTACTATTTCTATGTGCGTTCCCATCTCTATGGTCGCCCCAATGAAAATTGTTTCTAAGTTTTCCCGTTGTATCCTCGTCATGGGTATGAGGCTACAATCGCAGAAAATGGCGGCAGTTATCTCGTGGTGTTGACTCGTGCTCAGGGTAAACGATTGCAAAAATCCGAAATCACTTGCTATGCATATTGGAGAATTTCTGCGCGAGGCGAAGTGCTGTATAAGGTGTTTGCATAGATTATCTGGAAAGCATAATAGAGCCAATTTCGTTCTCAGAAGGGCTGATGACGCCGAGGTTGGTTACTAAAATATTATTTTAATTAATTATATTTAAGATATAATACGATAAACTGTAACGAAGTCTTGCTGATTAATTAACGGAATACAATATTTGTCCAGCTTTAGCAAGCAAAACCTCAACGCATGGACAAGTTAACTATTTAAGCAGTAAGCTAAGTGGTGTTGCGATATCCGTGCTTTCTATATTTTGATGGTAGAAACCCAATTTGAGATACCCAATTTCAAAAGTTAAAAATTTCAACTTTTTATTGGACAGTCTCGCAGCTTTGAAACCTTTATGAGACTTGCTAGAAGTTTTTCAAAACATTTTTAACAGGTTCTGTTAATTGCGACATGATAAGAGTTCATAGTAGCCATCGGTCTGCAGAGTATGGCACTTTTCGACGAAATCTCCGGTGTGCACGAGCAAAAAGCCTGGTGTGCCGGTGTGCACCACCAAAAATGTCTGGTGTGCTGGTGTGCACCACCAAAAATGTCTGGTGTGCTGGTGTGCACCGACTATTTTCCCCTGTTGTGGTTAAAATTTGTGAATTTGCATTTCACCGTAAAAATGCGTGTGATGTATACTGTTGAAGATAGCGCAAGTTTTTATTTGTATATTTGTCAAGTAAGATTCATGATACCTCAAATTGCTCCTACAAAACTGTGCTTGTTTTTATCAGCTGACCTTTTCTATGGGACCACACCAAGCCACACCCATCTTAGTTGCCACACCCAAAAACACCTGGTGTGCAACAGGTTTTGCACAAAAATATCTCCGGTGTGCACATGCCATACTCTGCAGACTGGGCCATAGTGGGGCGTAGCCGTCGCTCCCATGCAAATGTTACCCCTCATGTCAAATATGTACCTGACGCGTCGAATTTTCAAACACTCTTCAAGTTTAGTTCTTTACTTTCTAAATTTTTAACCCTTTGCCATTGTTTGTCATTTCCAGATTTTGAATCTGCATTTATCCTTGTTTATTATTTTCATAAATAGCAATAGCTCCTATGTTGAATATTTTAGCATGCAAATGTAAAACATGGTGCAGAGTTGCTACAAAACTGTCAGCCAGTATTGCAAGAAGAACATAAATCAGAAAGCTGCCCACTTTGTTTGGGAATCCTTGGAGACAACTTTTTGAGCAGTTGTTTGAACAAAGTATGCTGTTTTATTGTCGTTTGGATCTTTTTCTTCATTTCTTTAAAATTTTTTAATTTTTGTTAGCAACCTGTAGCAATAGATTTTTTGTTCACCAAGAATACTTTGTACCGTTTTGTTACACTTATTGACCTTACTTGGCAAGGTTAATGTTTGAAAGAGTGTACCAAAGAATTGAATTTTCATTTATTATCAAATTGTGAGTGACAGGAACGCAACAATATATTTTCCAAAGTTTCCTGAATTGAAAATAAACTTCAAAGAATTTTTTGGTAGAAATGGAAGAGTGAAGTGTCTCTGAAACAATATCACATTTTTTGTCAATTTTAGATAGCAAAGAAAATGTTGGAAGATGGCTATGACAGTGACACATTTTCATTGAATGCTATGATTCCCAATTCAATAGCTATAAGACAGGTATGTGATTTAAGTTATGTGACAAGTATGTGAGGAAAAGTCTAGTTGGGATACTAACCATTACTAGGTGTGTGGTGGTGTGCGACCCATAAAATGTTTCCAAGAATTTTCCTATACATTATGTCAAACAGCCTTTGTTTCCATCTCATAACAGCCTGAAATTCTTTATAATGCCTATATCAAATTTGTTCAACATTTCTTTAGAACAAGGGTACTGAATATTTAATTATTTTGACTATTAAAGTCATGTCAAGAAAATATCACAGTCATTCAAGAATTTTATAGATGTCATGTCTTTGATCCTATCTGATGAGGTGTTAAGCTTTTTGACAGGGGCAGAAAGTCAACAAAACTGATGAATGTAAACTTCTCAAATAAATTGGCTTCATAGGCATACACAGGGAATTCCTGTTCATTTGCTGTTCTTTTCTACATAAGTCTTATAATTGATTTTTATGTACATTTGTTTTCTTTTGTTTAGCCTTAATTTTTCACTGATTATTCTTAAAATTCTCTATTTATCTGAAACACTAAATTGTTATCATTGGTTTTGCTAGCACTCATTGTATACATATGCAAAAGAGAAACTGAGGTATGTGATTGGCTGTTAATTCAAATTTTACATGTTCTTCAAAAAAGATTGTAGCTATTTATCAATAATGAAGCCAAACCTTTGCTAAATTTTCAAGTTTCAATAGACTTCTATAAGGCAGCCTTTCCACTAGCCTGGGTCAAAACATATCCAGGTTAAAAGTTACCTGTTTTTGCGTCGCGTTCCCACTAACTCACTTGAAAAACAGATAAGTTTGAAAATGGGTCTCAAAGTGGGTCAGTTTTTACCCGGGTATCTTTTGACCCACCTGCGAGTTAATGGAAATGCTGAAACCCTGATAACTTCTGACCCACTTGCAACAACAGCAACATTCAAAAATTGAGATGGCACCAAAAATAAAAAAACAAAATCCTGGATGTCGAACTTTTTACCCGGATGTTTTAACCCAGGCTAGTGGAAAGGCTGCCTAAGATTCTTTCTTAATTTACAACTAGTTTGAAAACCCTTGCTGGCAAGTAAAAGATGGGAATTTTTAAAATGGGAATGAAGAAAAATTTCTGAATGATGCCTTTCATTTGTTGTGACTGAAATTGAATCTTCTACCCTTTGTCTTGTAACAGTTCCTGTGTTCATTTATATATTGTAGTAAAATTTAATGTTTTCTGGAAGTTTGGTAAGAACCAAAATAGTAAGATAATGTCAATGTACTTAATTCTGGAACAAGGTTAACATTTTGCTAGTCTTTTGTGTTCATATAGTTGACCATTTTATTTCAAATAGTTAATTTCTAACTGAATGAGCAACTTGGTTTTCCTAAGACAGACTGTCACCAAAAAACGTTTTCGAAAGCTCAATAGAATACATTATTGATGGTTGCTGTGAATCCTTTCTCTTCTTAGAGACGAAGTATGGAAACAGGAAGATGTTGTTTCAGTGAAAGATGCTTTGAAATATGGACTTACTGAAAAATTAGAAGAAAAAACAAGAAAAAAGTGCGATGTCAAGGTTTTATATTCAAAATTTTGCTTTGTCTGTTTAGGAAATTTGATAATGCTTTAGTATTTTGAAAATTTGTTTTCATGTTACATTTATAACATTCAGCTTGTAAATGAGTTTTTAGTGTGCTTTTCAACAGTTATATGGTTGATTCTGAGACCATGCCCTTTTTATATTGTGGAATGTTCCCATTTTGCAACATTTCAGTACCCCACCATTAAGCAGGGTCACATTTTACAAAACTGGAGAAAATAAGAATGCCTTAGCCTGCCTCTTTGATTTCCTGCTAATTTTAAATTGATGTATAATTTCAGTATTGGGCTCTATAGATTAGCAATAGCAGTATCTTCATTTATGTGTACATCAGTCGGTGTACATGTGTCATCTGTCTAGCTGTTTTCGATTTGATATGCATGAAAATAAATAACCACTCATGTGTGGATACAGGGAGTTTATTTTGACCCTAATGCTCCATTGGGGATATTTTCTATAGGCAGGCAACACTGATTGGGCAACCTTAATATTCACGTGCTGAGTGTATATATTTTCTATTTCCCAACTTAGAGTTTTTTGATCTTCACTCCTTAGAGTGTCAGTCAAAAGACTTTAGTATATCTAGAATTCTTTTTTGCAAAGCAATTTTTAGATACATAGATATTATAAAAATACTATTTTATTACAGAGCGACTTGAGGGTCACTGTTGTTGCTGATTACATCAACGATCGCAAGGAAGTCTCGGCCTTGTAAGAAGATGCATTGATTAATATATCTAGTAATTCATTTCTCAGGCTGTGTTCATATGATGAACAAGACTGTTCTTTTTCTGAGAGGATTGCCCATGTAGATAAATTCTTTGAGAGTGCAAATATGGAGATAATGCAGCGGTGACATATTTAATTGAATTGTCAGTGCATTATGATTCACATGAAGAGAAAAAAAATCTTTAGTTGCTTGAATAAACCATTTGTTGTTAAACTTGCCCTGAGCGAGAAAGATAATAGATAAGCTGTGCCAATGTTAAGGGGCAAGCTTCATAAGACAAGGACAGCCTTTTGTTAATGAATTTTATAAGTGTAGACTTCTGATTGGCTCCTACTTTACAGAAAGTGTGATGATGAGAGCAAATATCTTTAATGAATTATTAAAAATTGATTTTGATAACAAGCTCTTACATTAAGCTAGACAGTGTTTATTGAGAATATTCGGCGCAATGTTGTCATGGGTTCTTCAAGCAAAGTTGTAACCAACTGCTGATATTTCAGAGCAACCAAGGTCACTTTTATTTCACAGCTTCTTTCAGCTTTTTGGCATCTGATTTTCCAAGATATGCACTTTGTATTTTAAGAACTGTCTCAATTTGCATTATTTAGTGTTATTTTAACATAAAGCAGGGTCGTCAGTGAAAAGGAATCTAATAACAAATTTGACTGAAAAATATTTGCTTAGAAATAGATTGTTTCTGAGGGGTCAAGAGGGCAAGCTCTTGAAACTAACAAAGAGCTAAAAATAAATATAAGATAGTAATTTTCTATCAAGAAACTTGAACTACTGAATAAAAAACATGTTTAAACTAGCTTTGTGCTCAACATGTTAATTCGATTAGATCAGGTATGTTGTTCATTATACCAAAATAGCATTAGCACGAAGTGTTATCTCTAACTGATTTTCTTATCATACAGTAATCTTTTTGTAGAATGCAATGTAGTAAAGGATCAAATTCCAGAAAAAGGAAGGTAATGGAAAACATATTTCAAATAGTTTTCTGCCATTTTTAATTGTTTCCAAAAAGGATGTTGGTTTTTGAGAAGCAGTTTATTTCTGATTATACATTATTTTATCCTTCACATTTTTTATCAATTTTGTCTATATGTTTGTCTTTTCTAGTTTAGAATTAGATAAGTTGTGTGATCATGCTTGTGGTCTAAGCATGCTTAAAGGTCGATAATTGACTTTTCACCCTTTTATTTACTTTTGTTAATTTTTCAGTTTTATGTTAGTATGCCTCACCATTGATTATGAAGCAATAAATACAAAGTTATGGAGGATGTATCCTAAAATTGTTGCCTGTTAGCTTAATGACTCCCCTTCCAAAACTCACTGAGATCTCCATTTTTGTAACAGTATGGTGGAAAACCTTCACAAAGTATTTCTAGTATTCAAACCACTCTAGATGAGATGAAATCCGTGGAGACTCTTTCAAAGTAAGTATCAATCATGTTTTGCCATAGCATTTGTCCAACAAGTTGAAAAACACGAAGGGATTTTGTTCTAGATGCGAGTGAAATAGGGTTTTGAAGGTACCTATTATGGTCAAATCAAGTTTTTATTGGACCATTTATAGATTAAAGAGACAAACAATTGGGCTTGTAGCATTCAAAGTATATAAGTGAACGAACCAAACAACCATTACTTCTTAGGAAATAAAAAATAGTCCGAAAGCTTAGAGCAGGCTAAAAAAATTTCGATTCAAGTAAAGAATTTGATCACATAACATGCGTCGTATTCTTATACTGCTCTCTATTTCAACTTCAATCATTTTATGCTGTCCCATTTCTTAGGTATGCAGACTGTCCTCCGCAATTACCAACCGAATCTTGCAGCTTGAAAGATATTCTTTGTTTTCAAGAAGCCATTTACGTTGCAGGTCAGAAGAATCTTGCTTCATACCTTGTTAGTTGGCTATAAGCCTATCTTCAATACAGAATAACGCTATCAAACGTGTACTGATTCTGCAAGCATGCTGAAAACAGAAACAGCAATGTTTATAAAGAATAGAAGAATAGGGCACAAAGAATGTTTTAAATAAAGTTTTTCAGCTCAGTATTCCAAAATTTTTTTGTAGACTAAACAGAGTTTAGCAGATTTTTGTATGTATCATATATGTCGTTTCCAAAGCTTCATGTAATCTCGAAGAGTAGCATTTTCACAACAAACTTTATTTCATGCCCATATGTCTCTTTGTGATATATTTCGGCATTTTTCTCTTGATTCATCGAATGTTATTCCTCTCTCTTTCCGGAGCACTGCAGCAGTTATCATGTCTGTTTGCTTTCTACAAATAGAATCTGCTGCGAACAGTCTGTTATTAATGCCGGGTGATTTGTGCTCCTGCTTAATAGATCATCGACATAATAGAAAATTATTAATGAAAAGAATAAAGAATTTCAAGTTTTTTATGTTGCTTATGCTCATCAATAAATCTTCGTCTCTTGTTTGGCTTTCAACAGGAAGGTACAATAAATATTCAAGGGAATTAAGCCAGACGCCTTGGATAATCGATGGAACCAGAAAAACAGAATCCTCAGTTCAGGTGAATGTTTTCATGTATTGTCCTTTCAAAATAATTCGAAGTAATTCGCCGTTGGCAGTAAATGAAAGGTAGCAAGTCATGACTCATCGGCTAAACCAGCTGTCTATTGCTTTAAATGTAACATCAGCCTTTAAAAGGTTATCTTATCTGACAATGAACCGTAGAATCTGCATTGATTTCTTTACCATGAGTCAGTAGTGGCACTAATGTAAAAATTATGACTCAAGGACTTTTAACGAAGCAATCCAATATCAGCTAGGGTCGAGCAACAATTGATCACCGCTTATGGAAGAGAAGAATAAAATGCTTTCATGTACATAGACTTTTAGCATCATCGGGAGCATAGCATCATCGGGAGCATAGCATCATCGGAGCATAGCATCTGTGGGAGAAAAGCGTGTCTTATTTACCCTTGTTCATTGTTATTCCTACTGCTATCTTGTGACATTTTCTTTGACTAACCAGTCAGTACAAAAAGAGAAAGGCTTTCTGTATAAATAGAACAGACAACCACATTTTTTATGCACACCTCTTTCCCTACGTAGGATCATTCTATAACATCTATTTTGAAAGTGATCTTGCGAAGCGATTGTTAAAACACATTCAGTTGTAGCGTACTTTGCTTATTTTAGAGGTTTGGCCTTGACTCCAGCAGGAATACGATTCCTGGAAAGAGGGGAATAAGGACATTGCGGAAAACTCACCCTCCAGTTTTCGGCAGTGTTTTTGTTGACCTACCTATAGTCATGAATTGGTTGAAGTAGGCCAAATCAAATTTAGAAACCATCAAATATAGGCTGAATTAAAAAAACGTTTTTTGTACAAAATTATTCATATCGCTAATGTTTATGTTCTTTGCCATAGTTTGTGATTATTTTGTTGTAACTTCTTGTTCTTTTCAACAGGAACTGATATGCGATAAAATATTGCAATATTTTCGTGCGACAGGTAACATTTTTTGGCAATTTAACCTCAAACCAAAGTATAGTATTTTTATCAGCGTCCACCGATTACCATTTCTTTTGCTAATTCAGGAATGTTCTAATCTTTACATAGTAGAGTAGGACATTGAGGGCTTTTTCTTTCATTAAGTTAAGTGGAAGTTCCTTGGGATTTTCTAGCTCATTTGTTCTTGAATATTATTTTGAATGTAAAAGTTTAGTGCTGGAAAGCATGTAACTTATTCACACATATATCTATGTATATCTATATAAGTTGCAGACCAGAGCGATGTTTGGTTTAAAAAAAGTTTCCTCCATTTTCAGATTTAAAGTTTATTTCGGCCGGCAGAGAAGATGTTGACGTAAAAATGCTTGGATCAGGTAAACCTTAAATTGTTTTAGAAGGGGTCCCAAACTGCAGACCCGCCAGCCACCCTCAGCCTATTAACAACTTCATGTGTCCTACTGCACAGTAACATGTCTGCATATTATTGCTGCCATTTGCGTTCCATCATGGCTTGTTTTAATGTCTTTGAGTCTGAAGCTCTTCTTTCGATTAGAGCTAATCACTTTAAGGTTTGACTAAGATTTTTAACCGAGATTAAATAACAAAGATGACAAAACTTGCGACTTTTAAGCCAAGTACATTTGAATTGATTATCTTTTCGATTAAATGTTTTAGAATTTTTCTTCACGCAGGCAGACCGTTTGCCATAGAGCTCATTAACTCCAGAAGAACTAAAACATCGGAAGAAGATGTCAAGGAGCTCCAGATCTCAATCAATAGTTCAACCGACATGATAGCTGTCAATCGTCTGCAAATGATTCCAAAGTAAGCCATCTTTTGCTGCATGTTCCCAAATTCAACCTCATATGCCAGATGTAACAACACTGGGCCATATTGTCGCCTGGTATTTCATTTCTTTGTAAATGGGCTCGCTTTGTTATACAATTGTGATATTCCTGTATAATTCCGGTTTCGCCGTATAATTTATGCAAGGTATTCCTCTGTAAGATCGTAAATTAGTCCAACGCTATGAACATTTATCTAACCAAACTTTCACAAGGTATTTCCTGACCAACGATGACTTGTAAATCTTTGAAAATTTTAAGCAAATTTCGTTTCCTTCTGTTTGTTGGCTAGTAGACTTTTTTGCCTTCAACAACTACATTTTGAAGGAAAAATGAATTTAAAAATTTATTTTACCGCTTTTTAGAAGTCAATTGTTTCTAAACATTTCGAATTTTTCATCACCCTTTGAAGAATATTCGGTGTGAATTAAAAGAATGAACGATTTCATGAAATGCAAGGCCTTTATAAGCAGCCTCTTTATAAGCTTATTTTGTATTTACCAAAAACAGCAAAGTTCTATACACATTTAAAATCTTTGCTTTCCTAGAAAAGATCTTACTTTACTGAAAGAAGGCGAAGAGCACAAAATAAAACTCTACAGGTGAGGATCCTAACTTCTTTCTCAGCTACTTAGCTAAATGACTTGATGTTTTGTTCAGATTTCGATTAGTCAGACTAGTGACTGTTTGAAGACCATGAAACTGGGCGTGAGAAAGAGAATACAAAAATGTGTAAACTGGTGTCCAATTGGAAGAAAGGTCTTGTTTTCCACTGGCTCAATGTCGAGTTCAAAATTAAAAGATTAGCCTCAGATTAGAATTACTTTCGCAGTAAAAATATTCAAATTGCTAATTTATTAGTCAGCCTGTGAAATTGAAATTCCTGTGTTATGAAACTATTTTCAATGTTTGAGCAGACGATCCCATGTCCTGAGAAAATTTGTGGAAAGCAAAATATGACTTGTTATTCAATATTATAGTGGAACATTCTTGCTTTCGTATTAACCTTCAACCATCATTAAACATTTGTGTCTATCGATAATTAAAAGATGTCGAAATTTGATTGTTTATTGATCGGAAGATAAATTTAGCAGCTATTTACAGGAATTCATATTGTTAAAGGAAACATTGGTCGATGTGATCCTAAAGTATTCAAAAAGTAAATTTGATAGACTCTCAGTTCAATTTGGACTTCGATATGTATAATATGTTTATATTTGAGATTGATTAACCGTTATACAAGTAAAAGTCCTTTATCATTTTGTTTGCTGGCTCCAGTGTCAGTCCTACAAAAGGGTCTTGAACATATTATCCACGTCTCAGTGCTATACCAGTACACGAAAATCTGTGTAGTTTTTCTTATGTAGCTTTTCCATTCTGCATATTTCTCATGTTTTTGCAAGGCTTGACTGCGGAAGAGAAATTATTTCTTTGGTTGCTAAATTTACTGTCAGGGCTTTCTATGAAACTTTCTTCTGGTTTTCAAGATCCAGTTTTTTTGTCCATATTCCTTGTGATTCTGCGTTATACACCCAATACACGTCAGTTTTGTACAATGAATTTACAATCTTGAACAAAACTTGTTCAAGTAAACTTAATTTTTTTGAAAATACAAGAAAATTATTGTGACAAAAATAGCCTTAACCCCAATCCTCAAAAAATCAATGCTGAGCAGAAGCCCCAGCATCTAAGAGAAACTCAGATTTGTTCAACACTAAAATTGATGGAAGGTGGACGGGGGCTGGAATAGGGTTTTTTTTATTTTTGAAAAATTCTTTTTTGGAAAACCTTAACAAAATTCGTCCAGGATTGTAGATGTTGAACTAAGAGTAAACTTCGGATTGCCCTCTGAGATTTTGAGGTCACGTGTTCAGATAGAGGTTTGGAATCGATATCCTTGAAATGAGAATTCTGATTAAATCTGTCAAACCAGACGAGTGACGCACCTATATATCTTTTTCTTGCAAGTACAAACCTTTCTAGTCATGTTGTTAATTTCATATCAATCAAACCCTTACACCCTTGAAGTTAATTAACCGTTATTTTTATATTTCTTTATCCTAAGGTGCTGTGTGTTTATACTTCCTGTTATATTTGGTTTTTAAAACTTGTTATTAACTGCATATGAAGCATGTGATTTCTGAGTCATAAACGAAGCTGTGTCACATACGTCAGCAAAATGAATGTTGACATAAAAAGAGTACCGGAGTAGGAGCTCTTCAATGCATTCAAGATTAGTTATATGTTAAACCGACATAATCCTCAAAAACTCCCCTGTATTAAATCCGGTCATTTTTAAGACCAAGAACAAATCCTATGAATTGCAGAAGCATTTGCTCTGAAGGTATGGAAAAATGTTTATACTATAGAAACCAAGCCAAAAAGGCTTATCAAGAGGGAGTACATGCCAGGCTCTTCCATTCATTTTCTACGTTATTTTTCCTGTGGCAGCTGATTCAGCCTGTCTCGACGTTTTTCTTTCTTTGGCGCTGATTTTCTACTTCTTTCTCATTTCTCCTATCTTGTTTGTTTGTGAACATTTCCGCGCGTCTCCCATTGCTGTTCCTTTTTATAATTGTATTACGTCTTTCTCGTAACTTTCAAACTAATTGTGAATTTATTTTGCGAATCTTTGTCCCCATTTTTCGTTTGGTAGTTACTCCCTTTCTCTTTCCACTGTTTCTCTTGTATGCTGATATTGCCAGTTAGAATAATCAAGCTGATTGAAAAACACTTTTGCAAACCTCTGTATCTTTGTCCATTTGCGTTGTTTAAGTTTCATGAACAACGTTTCAGCTATTTCCGAAAATCTCTCATTGGTCCTTTGGACCAATTTTTTGAAATTATCTCTTTCCCTGAAACCTTATTCTATTCTTTATAACTTGGAAGCCACAAACCATTTGTCCGGTTTCAAACCACGTCTAGTTTCAATTTAAGTCCGGTTTCAAACCACGTCTGTTTTCAATCTAAGTCCGGTTTCAGACTCATAGATAGCGATCTTTTAACCCATGACCAAAAACAGAAAGCCCACAGATTACATCTACTATTATAATATTTCAAAAAGTTTATGGCATCAAATTTAGCCAGAGTCCATCTAGGTTTTTGGGTTAGTGAAGTCATTTGAAGAAGGTTTTTAAGTGATTTATCTTCACTAAAGTTAAATATAGTTTAGTAGATCGCCCGTCTCTGAACCTAAGACGATTACGTAATTGCAGAATCTGAATATTTAAATCAGCGTATTTGTCTTTTTCGTCGGTGGTAGATCGTGGGAACGGAATGCTCATGAGAGATGGCAGTGCATAAAATCTAATTAAGTCTTCTGGGGTCAAAGAGAAATAAGAAAACTTCTCGGTTTATCCAAGAACGTTTACAGAGAATTGATCGCCTGTTTTTTGTTGAACTTGACTTCACCTGTCTCTGACTGTCTAATGGCGAGTGGCTAGGAGTATGTCTTGTTTGCCAATATGTCTATTCGTTCGAGTTGACCCCCCTTTCATTGAGCCAATATATGGATTAAGCTTTCTTTACTCTCAATTTGATGTTCCCAATTTGGAATGCAAAAAGTTTTTAATTCACAAATAGAGGTAGACTGTATTAGTTTTGATAGTATCTATTTCCTGTGATACGCCAGGTCGGTTATCTGAAAAGAGCCGTGTAGATGCAATCCCATCCTCCTCTCTAAACAGAGATCTACTTCAAAACCATTTCTTCATAATGCCTAAATCCTCGTCAAACTTAGGCTGAATTTTTTTACTAATCCAAGAATCTTGACGCTCTTCAACTGATACATCTATTTGCTCAGTTAAGTCAAGTCATACGGTAGTTATGTAAACAATATACACATGCCGAATCTCTCCAAAATCCTTTTTTGCGAAGCTGAGACTTGATCTATAACGTATCTCGTATGTCTGTTTTCCAACCATCAAAAAGAAAGTCCTTTGTTTAGGCTGTTTTGTCAATGGACTGATTGATTTCATGTGATAATTGATTGACAAAATGATTGATTGATTGTTTTGAAGCGATTGGTTGATTTATTTGTTTATTGATTTATCGATTGCAATGATTCACTGAAGTGATTAATGATTGATTGGATGATATGAGACTTGAGAATCATTTCAGCAGATAGTGATTTTTGTCAACAGCTATGTCTCCATCTAGCAATCACAAATCAAAAAGAATAATGCATAGTTTAAAATAACGTTGAGGAAAATTTAAGGCAATGGACACACACTTAATCAGCTTAAGCCACCTGTCAATCAGTATTAGCCAATCAATAAGCAAAGTTTTTAAAGGTTAACTTTCAAGATAGCAAGAAAAAGCGGATCTTAATTCATCTGGATTTAGATAGAAGTAAATAGAAGATTGTTGTGAATCGTTTACAGCAAAGAGTTTTTCTTTTTCAGAGCTACTGTCTATGCAAAGAATGGAGTGAGCGATGAAAAGCTCGAAAGTCTCCAAAATGTAAAGGTACTTTGGATTTATCAGTGCTTGAATTGATGAATGTTACTGCTTACCTGTTACCTGTTATGAAGCGACTAATACTGTGTATCTGTTGTGCTCAATGAAATTAATATTATTGGCCTTTTTTCTTTACTTTTATGACATTTTATGCTTCTTCAAAGTTTTGTTAACTATAAAGAACAGTTTTATTAGCCATGAAAATAATTTTATTAGCCATAAAGACACCTATAGAGAAGCATTGCCCACGTCAAGATATATATTACTTTCATTACAACATTTATGTGCTACTGATCTAAACATGCCTTGTGAGATGGCTTTATGACCGTCTACATCAAGAACACAAACCGACCTCCATTGTTTATCTGCTCAGATAGTCGATATGCCTGCTTAGATTGATGTCATTTCTATATTATATGGCTATTTTTTGTAGCGAAATACTGAATTGATGTTTTTCTGCAGCACTTTGATGGAAATGAAGTTGTTGTGACATATTTGAATTAAATAATTTTCAGAAAATCACAGCGAAGGATGATCAATTTGTTTCCCTTAAGTCACCTTGTTTTGAGCTTTTGTATGGATTGAAAGCAAAAAATAATTTAGTAGAACTATCACAAAAATTAGCGAAATTCACAGATAATTAAAATCCGTTTTGTTTCTATCGTCTCTATGTTATCCCTGGATATAGAGGAACAGATAATACCTAAATTCTTTTGCACTTTTCACAACGCATGCACATTACTATAGATGCTACTACTCTGATTACACGTGACCTGAACCAGATCGGATCCAAAAATATCTGGATACTTGTGGATCTGATCCCAGGCGTTTGCACGGGATCCGATCCAGATAAGATCTACAGATATCGCGCACGCGCTTTTCAGAAATGGCATGCTGCATGCATCAGAAGTTTATCAAACAACTGAGATTAGAACAAAAAGTTCTACTGAACTTTGGTAGAACCACTCACAATTTAACCTGAAAGAGCTGTTCACAAGAGACAGACTTACAGCTAAACCAAAAGCTAAAACACATGCAATAATCCTATTTATCAATCTTGATGTTTCGTTTTCTGACGCCAATTCTACGGAATACATCTTCTTCAATGTACCTCGAATTGACAATTATTCTGGCCCACTTTCAAATAAACATTCGACTCTCGTCTAAACGGGGTCTAACATTTAACGTCATTTTCTTCATCAGATATTCAACTCACTATTGATTTGAATTTCGTTTTCCAGGATCTTGTCATCTCCCAAAAAACTCCCGTTCGTGTCTTGCACAGGTTATTTGCCCTTTTCCTTTCGCTTTTTATTCTTTGAAATATTTATCGTTGATTAGGAACTTACTCTTAGTTGTTGACTTGTGGATGAATTCTGCGTCAATGCAACGTCAATACAAAATCAATGCAACGTTAATGCAACGTCAATACAACATCAATGCAACGTCAATGCAACGTTAATACAACCTCAATGCAACGTCAATGCAATACGCGTACGATTAGAATTATTATTTAAAGAGTTCCTAGAATATTCTCTGTAATTTCTGTATAAGCAATTATCTCTGTATAAGCCATTTCCTTGACAGGTATTCACTTGGTAGTTAGTAAGTTAGTTTTGAGTTTCTAAGGAAGTTGCTTGTCTCAAGTAACAACGGAATATTTCTATACATTTTTTAACATTGGTATAGTCTGCCGCCACTGAAAGATTTTAAGGAAACGATATTTAAATAGTCCTTATCTTACTTTAAAGCATTTTGTAAGGCTAAGATAACTTCAGTAAAGAGTTGCCCAAGACAGCTGGTCAAAAAAGGTATCAATTGCTTTTCAGGACGACTGTAGCTTCTCTTGCACGCAAACTTTTAGTTTTAATACATATCTGTGCAGCAATGTGCGGCAATCATTGCAGTGTGCATTAACGAAGAATGTTTGTGTGACAGAATATTCAGTTGTCTTGTAGGTTTTATTGTGTTTTCCTTTTGCAAATTGATATCGGTTAACTTTAAAGAACTGAATTAATTTTCAGGAGACCATTCGCAGCAAGAAGCAAGACCATTCACTCGATTTCAGCTGAGAGGATCGACCAAAATCATTTTGCTCTTAATCTTTCCACACAGGCAGGGACGTATCCTTCAAAGCTTTGTGTCAGTAACTCTTTTACGTTAAGGATAATATTTATCGCGTCGAATGGCTCGCAAGTTGACATTGATGAAATAATATGACATTATCTGACATTCTGAGATCTGTATTTTTTTTTTCGAGGAAGTATGATGTTGTCATTGTCTTGTAGTGTATCGTAGTTCCAATTGTTTAGGCTTGATGAAATGTTTTCTTAATTCTGCGTCAATAAGATACATCAAGGAATTTGTGCATGGCGACTTCAGACGGACGTGTCCTTCACTCGGATCTCTTCTTGAAACAGAGGTTGATATTCTGGAACTTGATGTACAGGTTAGTCATTTCAATAGTTTCAAGACCAATCACCATTCGCTCACTAATTTCACAGTACGCTATGGGTGGGATATCGCCTATGATTGCTTCCAAGTAAATCGAAGTAATATTACATTTGAGGCTGGTCGAGGCTATGAAGTTGGTTCTAACTATTTGACCCTTTTTTAATTTTTTCTTTCTTTCACTTTTCCTTTGTCACATTTTCCTCTCTTTCGTTCTTCCGTACTTAAATTCCGTATCTTAAATTCCTTTGATATTTCATGTGCAGCAGCTGAAATCCTTTGTGAACCTGCTTGACTAGGACAGGATTTTACTTGAATTTCGTCTGTCTAGCTTTGTGTGTTTGAGTATCAAGATATCACTAGATATGACTTCTTCTCTCTTTGTAAATACTTTTCAAACCAGTCTGTGAATCAGAAAATCGTCAGAAAATATAGGTTACTAAGAATTATGTGACACTCATGCCCCCATTTCTATTATAAGCAATTTTAATCGTGACTTGAATAAACACGATTTACTTGGAGTCTAGGCTCTGCCTACGGCAAACAATTCTAATTCTCCAAGAAGCTGTGCAAACAGAAAGTTCTCCTTGAAGCTCCCAGAACTGCATTTTGACGCCCAGACATTGGTTTCTGTTGCTAGTTAGTAAATTCATTCGAGAAAAGTTTTTTCTTTATCAATGACAACAATGTTTTATTTCTTTGATTTTATTTCTATCTCAGTATTGCTGTGTGATTAACACAGTCAAGGAAGAAACGGACAAGTTTCCTTCCATTGCAGGCAAATATTCAGTGTCATCATATTTTGTGATTGTAATTGTGCTGGAAAAGTGAAGTATATTAATAGCATCTTCACCGATACAGCCAGCTTTTATGGAGTATGAAAATCATTTTTCAACGATTTTGAACTCATTTTGTATAGGATTTTGAACTCCATGTCAGCCACCAATTCTGTTTCTTCGTATGAAAAATGTGGCTAAACTGCAGCTCTTTGAAGAAAATCTTCGAAACTTTGTTCAAAGGTTTTCGAAAAATTCGAAATGGCTTGCTTGAATAAGTAAAGATGGAGCCGAAAGACACTTTGATGAACGTCAAACCAGAACACGGGGCTCGAAATTGTTCAATTATAACCAGAATGACATTTTCAGGGCTGAAGCTTTCGCTTAAATTTCATGCTTAACTGCGGGCTCTGCTGAAGATAAGGAGTATGGAATGAGGCTTGGGGACTCTAGATTGTTAGATTTCTTTTCAAAGGCATTTAATGGTATTTTAATTTTGTATAACCAATGCAGAGATGCAAGCTTATGAAGCTGGCAAATGGCACTTTTTTGATTCTGAAGCTTTGACAACAAAATTTCATCATCTTAAAAGAATGTCTTATTGACTCTCTAGAAATGGGCGTGCATAACAGGAATATATCGCATACACAAACTGCGCCAATGTTTGAATAGACTAACCTAAGATAAAGAAACTCCTGCTGATTAATCACCATTTTAAGTTGCAAAAGCTCCCTATTGAAATATGAATATTTTTTTGATGACTCTTAATCTAAAAATGGAACTTAATTTGCTTTCAGTATTACTTTACAAACATAAATTTTTACTTGTTTGGCTATTGGTTTGGTTAAATATAGTATGCATATTAGATGTGATGTCCAATCTGGACCTGGGCCTAAAATCAAAAGAGATGCTTGTCAATATTTATTCACCTCTTTTCTCTAACGGACGATCAAAATTATTCTAAATGCACCTTAGAATGGATCAATATAAATTGTTTTGATTAGAGAAACTTATTATTCGTTTATTTTGCTTACATTTGGAAACAGAGAGGTTTTTTGTTAATGTCAATGGTTTTAATTTGAGCACAATCTTTCGTTCCTTATCCTCCTGTGTTGTCGACATTGTAATGATTCTGAGCATGTTTCATTTGTTCTTCAAACTGTCCAGTGAAACAAAACATTTATTTCAGGAGGTTGAACTAGTATGGCCGCCAGCTAAAGAAGAGGAAGAAAGAATTTTTTGAAAGGCTGCAGCCTTTGGTAACAAGGTATGTTCAATAGGCTTGGCTTGAGAAACATTTGGTAACCACAAAGGTTCGAAAGAAGCAGGATCTTTTTCAGAAATTGTAGCTCTAGACGATATCTGAAGCGTATAGAGGTGGTATTAAAAGACCTTCTGCAAGATCTGATTCAAGTGTTGTTTCTGCAAAATATCCAACAGCTCCCTCTGCAAGATATCCAACAACAAGTCCGTGCGCACGTTTGCACTTTGCTAATGATTTTAAACCAAGATATCGCACAGAAGTTTGACCTTAAATGTATGTTTGCGCAAGAATTGAAATGAAATACTGCTGTGATGAAACAAAGATTAATTATAATTCTCATCTTTATTTTATTTGCCATGTGGGCACGTTTCTTTAAGCAGCTCAGCCCACAGTATGTATTTGTCCATTAATTAGTTAAAAATAGTCCTTTATGGATATGACTTCTAATCGAACATATAGCTAAAGACATTTTAGTGAGATTACATCATTCTTTGCTCCCTCACCCCTTTGTATAATTCTTAATGACAAAATAGCCTTTATTTTTTGAATAATAGAATTTAAGGCAAGTAGAAATGTACAATATTCAAGTCTTCTCGATCTCTGTTTGGAATTTTTTCAAATTTTTGTTAACTATCAATAAAAATTTTGAAATTTCAGTTTCCCCATATGGTTGCATTGTCATTTTTTAATTTAAGTCGGTTGTATGACATGTGCTTTTCAGAGAGACGTAAACCCTAAAGACATAGCTCAAATCTTCCAGCTCAAAGCTCAAAGCTCAAAGCTACGGTTTTACATGTGTTGCTTTTTTAATATCAAACTTTGTTCGTATTCGAAATAGGCTGTTTGAAAGGGGTAATGAATGTTATTCGCTGAAAGTAAGCTTATATAATTGTTCCCCAAAACTTTTGGATGTCACAATTCTTTCACTAACAACAAGTAGTTAGGTCAAATTCACTACGTCTTACGATATAGATGGTTTTCTTTATTCTCAAGATCTTTTATACCCCCTACATTTTCAAATGCAAATAAGACCGATGTTATGATAACAAATGTAAATGTGCCTTCTTGCTCAACATACACGCATAAAATTGTGGGCAGGAAATTCATTGTTTTTTAAAGGATGGCAACGAAAGCTCCGGGGGGGTGGTATGGTTTTGCGCAAAAAACGGAGAGAAATGAGTGATGATTTTTTTCTGCAATGCTTTATGAAGCGAAAAATGTTCATGATAATAATCTTATGTTCAAATGAATATTCTAAGGAGCGCGAGGGGGGTGCAGAAAACACCTTTCTTCATCAAATCGCATTCTGACAGAAGTTGTAGCTTTTACCTGGCCAAACTGTGTAAAGCCATCTTAAACCCTATTTTCTTGCTGCAGGTTAAAAAGCCGTCATCCCGTTGCCTCTTTTTTCGCATATTCTGAAATCACGAATCAATGCGAGAGCGGTGATGCAGTTGTGTCACTGAAACCCTAGTGACTTTCATTGATACTGCGAATTTCATTTTTTTCAGCCACAGCTGCTCACTACGTTCTCTTATTATTATCCATGTCTGTATGGCTCATCCATTAGTTATTCTGTTTGACGAATCCAAGAATGAAGAATATCTATCCTTTTTCCAATATCAGAGTAGCAATATCCAATGCATCTCAAATGTCGGGAGTAGCTGGGATTTGCTTGATGTCTTCTCACATTTATTACTAAAATAAAAGCTTAAAGTCTTGTGAGATTCTAGGACTTTGCACCTGGACCCAACTGGTGAAGTCACACTATCCAAGACCGTTTTCCACATTATCTCCTGTTACGAATTTATTTCTTGTTTTCTCTTTTTGTAACGTTAAAGAAAGCTGCGTCAATGTACTTAGTTACCCAAAAGAATCTAGCAACCTTTGTGATGACAAGATGTCCCTTTATTATACCACTGGAAGTTATACTTCCTTTTTTATGGTGCAATTATGAAAGAAAAATTAGGTAAATCGAGAGTTTTCTGATCTAAAAACAAATAGTAAGTGACTATACTACTGGTGCCAGCTGCAGATGAAAACGAGATGAAGTAATCTTGGTTCAAACAAGTTTATTCTAAAGTTATCTCGAGGTCCATTTTGAGTATGGTTAGGGACAGATTATCATACCAAGATTGCATTCTTTGATTTCAAACAGTCTCATAATTTCGTATACAATGAAACCTCTTTATAACGGCTGGCACTCAGACCAGTGTTGTATAGAGGTGTCCGTTGTATAGAATCTGTCCGTTGTTGAGAGGTATCCGTTGTATAAAAGTGTCCGTTTATGGAGGTTCCATTGTAATTAAGTATCTATTCCAATATCTTCCATTACCTAATTACAGCAATAACATACCATAAATATTATTACAGCTACAACGGCTTGTTACGCGTAAATTTCAACGTACGCTAGAATAACATAAATTTCAATACAAATAGAAACGTTATTACCAGCATATACTATTTTCAGCAGAAAATGAAAATGTTCGAATCAACATAATTTTTAACAGATTGGGTTGAAGTGGTTGGGCGTTGGTATTGTACTTATATCAAGCTTCTTGATACAAATTTGACAACTAAGTTAAACCATCTTTGGTCGTCTTGACTCGATATCAAAGCAAATTTCTCCTAAATTGTCAACTGTTTGAAATAAGGACTTAAAAATTGGAGTTCATTTAAGAGGTAGCATGTTTTATTAGGCAACTCCGGGCATTCAGTTAAAATTCATTGCCTAAATTTTCCCTGCAAGCAATTAACTGATTTTAGGTAGAGAAGGACTGAAAGCCAATGTTCATAGATGGATCAAACAATTCTTCCGTCTTGATATCCTGATCACCTGATTTCCCTTTTCCCTTGTACGAATAAGGGCAGTTTGTGACTGTGTAGCCCCATCTGTTTATTAGCTATTTTTTTGTAAACCAACATTAAATAACGTGAATAAAAAAACGCCCTCTGGAAGCGTTATCACTACGCCTCGCCAAAACGTGAGGTAAAAGCATGAAAAGGGGCCATGCTTCACCTCTTTTGGTGATTTGAGCGTGAACAAAGTCCTTATTTGTTCATTCATTGTCACCGTGTCATAAATAATCCTATGAGCGTCTCTATCTTCTCCGCATTAAACTCCCCCCTCCCCCGTTCTGCGTGAGTTTCTTTTTCACGAGCGTGACGTCATTCAGACGACCAAGTGACCCCTAGCGTTTTTCTCAAATCTTTCCATCGTTTCCTCTGGTTTCAAATGGTTTTGACCCTTGTACCTAGGTGGTCCATTTGTCGTTTAATCGAACGTTCTATTATGTTTACTGATTTTGTTAAAATTTTTAGTTTTGTTATATGATATCTTTTGTTCCCGTTAGTTTTTCTATGTCACCACAAACGTATAGGAACTTGGAAGCAAAGGGGCACGTCCCCGCTTTTTATAAACAGTTGCTTCATTCTCTTGAATGTACACGTCCCCCCAGTACTCGATAGGATCAGCTTTCTATTTTGTCTAAATTAGACGAGAAGATGTTGAGGGAAAGATAATATTATTGGTAACGTACTTTTTTTGATGCAATCCTGTGATTTTGAAACTACCTTTAAGGAACCAAAATTTAGTCACAGGCGTACCCTTCGGGTAAAATTGGCGTTCTTTGTCGGTAAAAGGGCGTTCTCTGGCGGTAATAAGGGCGTGGTCGAAAATTTTCATTTTTCCCGCTCAGAGTCTAATGGCTGGTGCCACCACTGCGACCCCTCCCTCCCCCCCCCCCATAAGCTTCCTACGTCTATAACGTCATGCAGATAAGAAAAAGTAGCTTGGGAGACTATCCGAGAATAAGAAATGAAAATGTTGTCAGGGCAATTACTACTTGTCTTCTTCCATCTCATCAAAGCGGAATGACATGTATGCTACTAGAAAGGGTCAGAGATCATAACAAAACTTCAAATCCGGGAAAGAGTATTACTAGTATCGCCAAATTCCGTAGTCTGTAAGTTCCATCCATATTTTCGAATTACCAGAATCTTTTTAAGGCCATTTTGCTTACATACGACTGTAGTTGAAGCTTCTCAAAATGTTCTCTTGAACCTTCCAATCTACTCCTTCCCTGAGCCTTCTGCCCTAGGCCTTTCCTATTATTAATTGCGGTGCTTTTGTGTGGCAAAACATGATTGCTGCTGCTGTTGATGTATGAAAAGTCATGCGTCATTTTAATGCGCTGGAATGACAGTTTCCTCTATATATTCTCATGAGGGCTTTTCCAATCCCTCTTTAGAGGGCAGAAGCTGCTTCAATCTCCTCTTACGGCAAAGAATCCTCTGCATCATCGACCGACCTGTTTGGTTTGAATCAAATACCCTTTTAATGCCATCTATTGTCATGGATGGACACCTTCCCATTTGATCTGTGAATTGTTTTTAATTCTGAAACCCATTTTGAAATTTATCTGTGTTTGCAGAATGTTTGTGTGGATCAAAAGCTGTTTGACTAATCAAAATATAAATACAGTAAGATTTATGCGAATTACAGTTAAGTGATTCTTATTCCTCGAAATTCGATATAAGAATCCTTGTTTTTGTAAGGATGAAGAGACCTAGGCTTTCTAAGCATTTGGAATTTAAGACAAAAGCATCTAGATTCGACTGCTGAGTGCGTGGTTATCGGAAAATTCATGTCCTCCGGATATTTCGTAAACTCTTGCAGCATATCTCAACCAGCTTTGTGAAATCTTTCACCAAATTGCCCGAAAACGCTGAGCAATTTTCTCATTAAACTCAAGGGTACTCTTTAGTTCTTCTTTGATTATTCCAGTTACATTCAGATTATGACGACACTACTGTCTGGCTGTTTGTTGTTATTGTTGTTGTTGCGTTTGTATTAGTTGTTGTTGTTGTTGTTGTTGTCGCTGGACATTAAAAGCAACCCTGCTTAAGTGAAAACCCACATAAATGAACCTGTGTTTACTGAAGGGGCTGAAATGGTTCCTACACGTTGACGCAGTGGTTCGTATATTAAAGGTTCATGCAGAATGGTTTCAGTTCGTCTCACTGTTTCCTACTTCGCTACTTCGTGTTTAGTTTTATTGCTCTGCTCTGAGGATCATAATCTGCAGCTTATTTTACTGGTTTTCACACAACTTCATTTATGACGTCCGAGTTTAACATTTTAATGATAACATTATAGGGGTTATGATGATTATTATTTATTTTGTGGTTCAAAGTTTCCCTCTTCGGGCTACGTTTCAGGCTGTGTTTGCAGCGCAGTCTTCTGGCTCCCACGGATGAAGCCACTGCGTTGTTGACTAGAACAGATACCATAGATAATTTGTCAGCTGCTAAAACAAAACAAGATTCTCTCCAGTTAAGCGATCATTATTTTACCACCTGTTCTCTTGTTAACCATGAAAGTAAACACATTTTAGTTTTATTGCACATTAACCCATCATAATAAAACGTTCATTTCGAGATAATTTGCATGTTTGCTGATGTAAGTGCATGTCCATCACTTAGGTTCGCTAATGCTTTCCATTTGAGATTTTCTGCCAGTTTCTTCGCCTCATCCTGATAATGGTGTCAACACTCAGTTCCTTAGTTTATTCTAATTTGTACTTAATATTTAATATTTAATACTTAATATTTGAACGAGTACCCCTTCTTTCTTTCACCTCTAAATGACTTTCCATATCACACCTGTGATCATATCTGCACCCGGATGGCTTTCAAATAAACTTGTTTTTATGAGAACCAGACAAGTTTTGCTGTGGCTCGATGTTTTTTGGATAATTGAAGCTCTGCTTCTCTTATTGTTGGTTTTATGTGAACATGTTTCTACAGCAGCATACTATAAATTGTCTCTAAAAACAGTTTTGCAAGGCATTTTTAGTTGCACCGTTAATTTGCTTATAATATCTGCTCTTTTCGTTAACTTGAGAGAAAATTTCCAAAAATGTATTGTTGTTTCCCAATTTTTCATCCAGGACTGGACGCGTTCCTATGGTATTCTTATCTTTTGGACAAATCGAGCCTTACTGCTCTTATAAATTGTGTTCTTATAAGAAAAGAGTGGAACAGCCTTTGCGTGTTTGTAAAAGACTTTTGTTGAATCAGATGTCTATAATCTTATGAAATCTAATTCTCAGGTCTTTCCCACATTTGCTTGCTCGCCAGTTTCTGTTCTCACTCCGTATTTCAGTGTATCGCTTCTATGAAGATTTCCTAAGACGAGTGTGGTGCTTATTTAGATATGTTAATAAGATAGTTTACCCCTTGTCTGGCCTGCGTTGTTGACATATATGTGATTAGGCTGGTATTATAGAGACCTCTTTAGTGGAGAATATTCGCTGGTTGTTGTATTATTCTTCAACTTGCTCAGGGTGATCGAGTAAATAGTGCCAGGGTAATGGCATTCGTTGTCTTTGTCACACCAGCAACATCTTTATGTTTAACTGCAGTCATTGCCAAACAGTGCACGATAATTAAATCCTGTCTCGATGAGAAACTGATGTTTCATAAATTATTTTGATTGTGTTAACAGCAAACAGGAGCTTAAGCATGGACTGGCTTTTGAATATTTCCGAGCATCAGCTTGTCAAAGTATTTAAGGGAAAGGTGCCAAAGAAGATGGAGAAGTAACGATAATTGTTTAAAGGGATATCTGATTGATTTACCAAAATGCTATAAATTATCCATGAACTAATGCAGTGCCGTATTAATCAGGCATAAGCCTTCTAGAAATTGTATTTTTTGTTAAATGAAACTTTCAAATTGAAAGCAACACATTTGTTAACTGCAAATAACAGGACGGGGATCGACAAATTAATGAAAACATCTTAATCTTTTCGTACCATCTGTTTTTTCTACATTTGTGAACATAAAAACTTAATACTTTCGTTTTGTCTAAATTTCGAAAGTAAACATACAAACGTATTTGGAAAGCCCATGCTAAAGGCTTTAAATCGCAATGTTGCATGTGCCTCATTTTAGAAAGATCTGAAAAACATTTCAACCAGCTAGTTAAAATGTCCGAGAGTTCCTACAAACGACAACAATATTCCTGTAAGTTGAAGATAACACCACAAGGTGATGTCAACTTGTGCGTGGTTTTTCGAGCCAAAATCAAGTTTATGCTTGTAGCAGCATTCAACAAGTATAGAACCAAGAGACTATCCTTTCACAACAACAGTAACCTGTTAATGCTTGGCGTGCCTAAATCGAGATTCAGATCATGCAAATGCGCTGGCTTTGCTAGAAATCTTTTTCGGGGGTCTGGCTGCATTAAAGAAAGAATAGCAGTGCATTTTCCAAAAAGTGAAATTATTTTCTAAGTTAAACAACAGTCTTCCGTATTCCTACCTACATTTTTAATAGCTGTAAACTATCACTGGCCAATGCACAAGCACCGCAAAGCATACTACAGAATGAAGGGGCTAAAACCATCTGGAAGGGCTAAACATGCTGAAAACCAAGAGCAAGGTGACTTTTTGTATGGTTTTAAGTAAATTTTGGAAATTATTGGGGGTTCTAAAGCCCCTTCAGCACCCCCACCCCCGGTTCCGCGGTCCCTGCCAATGTAACAAACGTTTTTCCGCAGACATCGTTGTTACTGTGGTATATTATAAAGTTTGCTTTTATAAAGTTTTGGGTAAATAGTAGGTACTCTTCAAAAATTCCGGTTCTTCCCAGATAAGATGAAAATGGATGCAGACATCATTCTTGATAATAATATTAAGAGATGTGATGTGATTATCGAGATTTCGGTGAGGAGACACAAACGCAAAAATGCATTCTTCGAAACTTTTCGCGCAAATAATCTTCTTCTTTTCCGGTAGCAAAGTCGCTAAACGAGAAAGCTTGAACCGCTAACGTCTAGCATCACAATAAAATAAGCAATCTTAGTTTTCAATTCACTGAAATTGTTACATTCTTTTTGATCAGCTAAACAACTTCTTAAATTTTCGAGTTTTTTTAGACAGTAAAAATAAACTGACTTCTAAATTGGATCTCTTTTTCCTTTTCCTTTTTGTTTTCCTAAAACAGAGCATTGGCCTTAATTATACTGGTGGCTCCGAGAAAACCAACGAACGTTTTTGCGACACCAAAACGCGCATGCAGGACAGCCATACATCATTGACCGTGTTCTTCGAATTTAGTTTGGGGTATCCCTCAGAGAAACTGAGATTTCCGAAGATGAAATTTCAATAATTCTAATTTCTGAAGATAATATTTACGTTTGCAATTTCTTCAATTTTGTCTGATGGTGCGATCATTATCCATTTTTTCAAATCTCTGCTTTTCTTTTCAACTCTTTCTCTCTTAAAATGAAGAGCTTCAAGTCAATTGCTTGTTCTCTTATTTCATAAAATGCCTTTTTTAAGTTATGTACCATGGAAATAGCTAAGACTCTTTGCAGTAATTTTGGTCCACTCGCAGTTCACTAAACTCTGGTGTCCAAAGTCCCAAATGTGAGCGACAGTTATAAAGCACAACATTAGATGAAAACTCACAATTAATCTTCTTATAGCTTTCTTTGTCGCTTCTAGGTCAAATGATGGAATTTTCTTTGGGGAAACGAACATTATTATCTTGCGAAGTCCTTAATGAAAATATAAACAGTTGAAAAAGCCACCACATCTGACGGAAATACTTAGCAACACTCATCTATAAATATCATTATCGTATAACCATCAAATGTTTTTCCGGAACATCTAAAACCAGTCAAAAATTGATCGTGTATTTCACATTTAAAATTTTATAGTAACCCCTTGGCCTTTCGAGTTAAGTGAAATTTCATAGAAGATACTTGCTTTAAAGACTTACGTAGGAAAATTTGTTCTTGCTTTTTCTGGCTAGATTGTTTTTCTAGCTTTAACGGTGACATTGAAGTTCTTTCCTATGCGAGGAGAAGCAAAACCACAAAAGCATTTGTATATGGAAAAAGTTTTCTTCGACGAAGCTCTGGAATGCAGACCAGCACTGAACTTTTTGTTGCAGGCAACAATTTTTTTATGTTGCAGAAATGAAATATAAAAAGGATTCATTTTCCAGAAATCGTGAACTATTGTTGTTAGAGCTTCCAACTGAAAGCTGCTTTTTTCGCATTCTATCCTAGCCTGCCACACCCCTCCAAGGTACGTATCCTTGTAAAATTGGCCCTTCTCTGTATAAAGTTCTATTGACTGAATGAAAGGGTTTAGGTGTGAACATTGCCTCCCGCACATTATCCGTGCGTTTAGTCGTGAAATTGGCATTGAAATATCTACGTCACACATATTCTGTGAACAAATGGCTGAGAGTGATCCCATTTTAGGGCAAGTCAAGTTTACGTTTCTTTTTATCCGTGCTGTGGAAATATTTACTATAAATTAACAAATTTTTCGATTAAAATACCCACATTAAGTTTTTGATGAGGTAGACTTCCCTTGTTTGGATTTGTAAAAGCTCTCTCAAACCTAAATACTTTGTCTAAGTATCCGACATAATTTCGAAGGGACCCTAGACGCAGAGAAAACAAACAGGAGGTCTCTTTGTAAACTGTCAAGATAGAAAGATGGGTGTAAACCCTTCGCCCACACAAGTGGAGCTTGTTGGCTGATTTTTCTTTGCTCTCTTTGTTTGCAAACACTTTAAGATGTTTTGACTTGTTAGATCATATTCTTTGGTAATCAAATAGAAATATTTCAATAATTTGATGCTGGACCTTGCCATATTTGTGACCACAGCTGCTTCCTGCACAGCACCTCGTCAAATGTTCGTGTTTGAAAAACATGCATAATAATTTTCGATATTTATTTAAACATAGAAAGAGACTATTTTTATTATATATTTAGGGTAAAGGTGCGGAAGACCACAGGATTTTATCATGTGCTTGCACCAAAGAATATTCGGTGTAAGCTCATGGAAATGGTTTCTTGTCACAGGATTGAAACTGTGCACCAAAAGCAGACCATCATGACCTTGCTTTCATTCCGAGAAGAGAAAGAAATAGTGATAGCAGAAGTTGCTTTTCATGTCAAAGATAAAGGAGAAAGAAAAAAGAAATCTCCTTGTAATGTTTTCTAAAATATCTAGTTTTCTAAGGAGAAAAGTGGTTGTTGCGTTGCAGCATTCCACACCATTTCCAATTAATCGAGGGAAGAAGTCCCCTCTTTGCTTCTGAAATTTTCTTGAGAACACCACAGTGCCTTATTTTGTTTTTAGTTATCAATAACTATAATTCCTTTTCTGTCATCAGAAAACATTTTTCTCTGACATCTGGCCTCCGATATAGTCCCTATCATTTTACAGACCTCGTGGTTTATCTTTAAAATATCGGAATTTGATTGGATGAGATTAAAATGTATTCAAAAAATGTTCCTGGGGACTCACGTATTTTTAAAAATACGTTTTTGCGAAATGAAAAAAAAATTGCAGAAGAATGTTTCGTGAAAATTGTCGGTAAATGGTATGAAAAGCAGGTCTTAAACATATTAATAAAACATATTTGAGGAAATAAGCCAGTATGAGCCCTAGATGTGCTTGCCTCCCACCATCCCTTGCCAGCAAACACAAACTATTGATTCAAAATGGTCGTTGAATGGCTATATCAATGAATTTAGGTGCGTTACGTCAATGTATTTAGCTCTGAATTAAATACACACTAACACAAGTAATTCGTTTCATGTTTATTCAGAAAATTGGAAAATAATTTTTTGTTAATACGAACGGTTCCCTTTTTGGCCAAGTTCAATACAAACACAAGCAAAAAAGAAATCGTTACAATTCACTTGACTAAATAAAGCCACGCTAGTAATCCCCTTACCTGCAGATCGATAAATATTTTTAAAACCACCATTTGGTTAAAAATAATTTGATCACATTTCTTTACTGTTTCTAGTGAGAACCAGTGAATTAACTTTAATCAATTTTAAAAGGGATGGAACTGAAAACAATATAGGGTTTCTTGTTTGTTTAGGAACCTGACAGAGTGCGAAAAACCCGCCAATACTGGTTCTTATCTTAACATACGATGGGTGTAAGTTTTGTGAGCGCGCAAACTTTTCTGAAATCATCACGTTGATTGCTGTGTGTTTCAGGTGATAGCAAACTGAATTTATCCAACTAAGGCACCGACAACTGACTAATCAGGTGCTTTCGAGAGTCGCGTCTAAGCATCCAATGGAACTGCTGATCTTGGCGTTGTTTACAGTAAACATTCATTTTTGTATCTCCATATATGCTTAAATACCTATGAGAGAACCACGTTTTATTCTAATAATGGCCAGAAAGAACCGAGGGGCGATTCACTCTTGCAAATAGCGTACGAGATTTTGCCTAAAACAGAATGATTTCTTGGGATTTTCAGATAAAACAATAGGATTTTCACAAAAGGTGTACGAGATTTTCATGAAATCATTTGCCCCTCGGAAAGAACCATGTTTGAAAAATCAAGAAGGCGCTGAAAGCAACTTTGTACCTTCTTTCCAGCAAAACAGCTTATTAGTTTAATTAGAAAACTTGAAATGAAAATTGTGATTAAAGCTTGAACTGAATTGAAATATGTTTTATAATTCAAATTTTTTTATCATCACATCCATACTTTACCTCATTTGCAGAGTTTTAAGGGACAAGTACTCTAATTCTTTTAAAATAATGGGCTGGTTATCAGGCTAGGGACAAGGGACCTATTTTCAGGGAATGAACATTTAATTGGTCTAATCTTAACTATGAGCAAGAAAATATTCGTTTTCTCTGTGTGTTTTAGAGCATATGTTTTGAGAGTGCCTATCGTTACCCAGCATCCCATTTCAATCTTTGTTCGTTGGAACATAGTTTGTTTTATCCTTTTAACACTTTTTATGATTCATTCAATATTATGCTTGACAATCTTTTCTCGTTTGAGAGTAGGTCTAAATTAACCCAAGCAAGGTTCATATAACGATTTTAGATAAACTTCTTTGTTGTATTCTTCATAAAATCAAGCTTTGCGCTCTCACATCTACGTTTTTATTTACAATCTGATGCCAATCTAACATACTTGTATGAATAAACATGTATGGCAAAACGTGCTTGGTTTTCATTCGGCCGCATTTCAATGTGGTTGCGCCAATTGCATCGCGATCAACCCGAAAGTGGAGCCGGCGTTTTAATTTTCTTTCCGCCAGCAAGCACTCTGAATTTGCGTCAAAACTTGGAAAAACATTGAAAAGTCTTATCTGAAACATTTGAAACAAATAAGCATTTTGAAGTGCTGCATGGCTGCACCACTTGTTCACAGTTTACAATTAATCTGATAAAGAACCCACTGGAAAAAGTAAAGCAACCTTTGAAATGATATCCAAAACCATCATGGTCTTCGTGATCCTAATTATCATAATCATTTTAATAATCAAATTCACTGTCTCCAAACTCATCCTTGACTCTGTTATTCCCAGCAAAATTAACTTAATTGTCTTTCCAACATCTCTTCGATGCAAAACCTTAAGCAACTTTAAAGATAATGTAAACGCAGAAGCTCAGTTTGAGCCTAAAACGGGATTTGAGTGCTAATTCTTATAACGACACTTTGACTTGCATTGCTTTCTTTTCACTCTTTACCTTTTTTAGCAACCTTGGGGTTGAAATCTCTTTTCTGTCCCCTTCACCTGCTTTTATAGCATTAAAATTGAGAGTGAAATGGCCAGTCGCTGCTGCTTGGACATTTAGAAGGGGTAACTATCATAATACTGCTTATCTATATAACAGGAAGTTTCGATGGTAGGCGACCATCTCCGTGTCTATTATGTTAACGCCTCGTCGCAAAATTTGCTTAACCCATTCGCTGATAAATGCCTTGAATCAGTCGCATATTTAAACAGCGTTTGCTAAATCGATCGATAGCCTGCGAACAAGCCAATCGCTGGTCGTGTGTGTGCTTATATTTTGAACCGCTTGTTTGACTTCCAATAGGTCGTTTGTTTAAGCACCAGTTCTAAAAACTGTCCATTGATCCATGTGTTACTTGATGGGATTTAAGTGTGTTATTACAATAAGAGATCATTATAAGCCTGCGAGTGACCCTGAGTGTTTGTCGGAGAGTGTCGCTTTTCATCGAGCCATCCTAATTAAAACAAGTCTTGCTCCAATTAGCCGGACAGTTGGTCTCAGCAGACGATGGCTACTGCCAAGGCATCAATATCAAGGAAGAAGAACTCTTTTCTGATCAAGGATATCTTAAGCGATGATACAATTACAAAGGCTGATCGCGACGAGCATGCGATTGCTATGAGAAGGCACCATAGCTTTAACAGGAATCAAAACTTCCACCATCATGAAAGAAAACAAATGGTGCCTCTTTGTGAACCAGCATCGCCATGTTCTTGCCACAGATCAAGATCGACAATGCTAGGGTGTACTTTGCCTCCGAACATTCACTCGCCAACGCCAAAATTTCCTTGCGGATGTCATGTACCTTCATCTAGAAATCAATGGCCACTAGATTTCATCTGTTGTCAGCCTCAACGAATCAATCAATCTCCGCGACACGTCAGTTCATTGCCTTCCCGATGTATTCGAAGCCCAGAGGACACAAGAAGAGAAAGCATCACAGAGAAGAATCCAGTGTTATCATCGAGCACTTCGGAAGACGACAGCGAGCCAAGGCCTACGAGCACAGGTACCCATTTTTCGTTTTTCTCCCTTTGGTTTTAAACTTGGAGCTTCAGTAAAAAAAGCTAGGTACAAGCTCTGTTCCTGAATGCCTAATATTATTTTTATTTGTTGCTTTTCTATCTCTAAGTTGCTCTTTCAGGGGATGCTATTTACGTTCTTTGCGATTGCCAACAGTGTTAGTGTGTTGTTCCTTATAATTTTTTATGCGAATATTTTTTTTCAAAATTGTGGAACTGATTTAATCTTTTAAGTAACTATTAATTGAAAAAAATATAAAGATCAAATCGTTTAGTGGATAGCGGAAACCGCGTTAATATTTATTCAAACTAATTTATTTTGCTTTAAGGCCAATACTGTGGTGATAGTTACACGAAAGCGGTATAAGAATAAATAGTGATCTAAGGGTATCATTGATAACACTATACTTGCTGGGCAATGTTCTTTCGGGCTTTTGAAATCTATACTCTAGCTTTATGGATACTGAGGTATAATCCACAAAATTCCAAAGGGTAGTGGCTAGAAGGGTACTTTGAACTCCACCAAATAGCGTCTCATCCAACAGGTATGCCCCAACACTCAAATGCTGCTTCATATGTCTACACTGATCGTATTTCTTTTCACTTGAGTAACTCGAGGGTGCTTTTTTATATTTCTCACTGCAGTCTCCCTGAAGCCACTTTAAAATACAATCATCGTTACATGGCCAACATAACATTAGCTTAGGCACTGATAACAATTGAAAATTTGTAGCTGTTAACCTAAGAAAATTAGTTCTCTTGTATTATAAGTTTAGGATGTGTTGATTTGCTGATGTTTTGGCGAAGAATTGTTAACAAATCATGAAAGATATGAGGCTTAGATAGATATAGATAATGCGAGAAAATGGATTTTAGTAAAACCTTAACCGTTACCTCGAGCGCTGTAGCGACTCAGACTCTATAATTTCTTGTAATAAAGGTTATTACCGAAATTTTGATTTTGTTAGCAAGGTGAGGCATGTCTAACAGTTGCAAAAAATGCTAACAGATAGTCCAGGGTAATACTGTGAGAGTTGTGCTACTGCGCAGTTAAATTTTGAACCAAACCATAGGTTAACCAAGGGCAAGGCACATTTAGCGAATGTTATCTTTCATTTAAAGAAATGTTACAGATCCTTTTTGGGAAGGGGAAAAGAAAAATCTCTAAATGCACCAGGGAAAGCAGTAACTGAAAAATCTCGCAGAGAGTTCAACTAGATTTGTGAATCTTGCCAAATCGGATCTTCTCTCTGGAAGCCTTTCTAGCCTTATCTAGCAAAAACTTTTGATGTTTTGTTCTGTCGTTATGTTCCCAAACGATATTTGTGCTATGCCTTTTATCCACAATCCTCAAACGATGTCTTGAAGCATTCTTAAACAGTTTTGAGGTATTAAAACCCAAAATCAATAGAATAGGTCTTGTAGACTTATTGGTCTGGCTATAATTAAATTCATATAGGTATTGTGCTTTGATGCCATAATTTATATTCTTAAATGAATATTGTGACCCAGCTGTTGAAATATTCAAAATCAGAACATCTTACAGAAGGATAATTCTATTGAGCTGCGAAGATTATATTTAATCAAATGCAAGAAAATTGAATCAGAAATTCCTTTATAAAGTTCTTTCTTTTCCTGTCGAGAAGCTCCCTTGATTCCCTGGCCATGCGGCGGAGATTGAGAAAAGCCCCATTAGGAAAACTTAACTCTTCTAGGCAACTGTCTTTACACACTATCTTTAGAAGTCATAATTCGTCAAGTTTCACAAAGAAAGCCGAAGGCTTCTGCAGAAGCAGGCGCAAATAATAGAAATCAGCCCACTTCAAAACTTCTTATGCTCCTAGAAAGGTAGATTGGTGGGGTTTTTCTGTTAAAGCTTTTTGGAAATTAAACATTTATATGCTGAAAATGTTTATAATAACGAATGCTTGAAGGATCAGTTAAGCAACGACAGGCGTATTAAAAGCAGTGATATGGGTTTCTTTCCTGCTAAGAGCTTTGTACTTTCCAGGAAATATTCACTGAAACTTTCAATTTATTTCATAACCTCTCCCAGTTTGAATTGTTTCTCGTTAATATATTTTGGTGAGAACATTTTGTACATAACATTTTGTATTTCAAGGTTCTTCAACGCGTATTCCTAGCGAGATTGAATTCATTTAGTAGTGCAATGTCCAAATTAATGTTATAAAGGATAAGTGTTGAAAGCACCTTCTTTGCTTTGAAATTATCAGTTGAAGATGGCTATCAAGTGGATTTCTTGATTAGCTTGACAATAAGCGATAGCCGTTCTCGATTGTGAGAACATTTTGTACATACCATTTTGTATTTCAAGGTTCTTCAACGCGTATTACTAGCGAGATTGAATTCAGTTAGTAGTACAATATCAAAATTAATGTTAGCCTGTGATTGTAGCCTGTGAGAAAATAAATGGCATGTCCTACGCGTGCTTGCATTTGAATTGCTTCATTTCCACTCTGTCAAGGTATTAATCTGAGCATTGACAAGTTTCTTTTGAAAACTTCGATATGCTGTTAACTACTCACGGTTCTCAATTCGAGTGAGCTACTTTACAAAACAAAGCACAAATATGTTTCAATTTCGTTTAAATTTCCAACGAGATTCACAAGTAATTGTTTTACCAAAATGCACTAGCTCCGTCACATTTACATGTTGAAACCCTTGTTTTCTATTTGACGGAGATTTTTTGTGTGTTTGGCTAACCGAGAAATAGAAATGGTCAATAGCCTTGGTAAGTGATTCTAAACTTCTAGTGTTTTTGCTTGGTCTAATTCACAGTTAGCATCAATATTTATATAGCTGGTATTAGCAATACCTAATTAATGCCAGAGGCTACAGAATAGTGCATGCAAATCAAGGTAAACATTTTATTTAAGAAGGTAATAAGCGAAATGGGCCATTGAAAGCTTAGTGCAAACAAAACGTTTTCTTCACTCCCGCGAATTTTGAGCAATGTTGGAGTAGTCAGGTTTGCTATGGGGATAAGAATATGAAGTTAATTCGATAATTAGAACCCAATTTTACCATGAATGGTTTTCGAATCATTTTTTTAAATTTTGGTTTTTAGTGAAGTATATAACACTGAAGTTTGACTTCTTTGGGATGTCAAAGCCTTCCCTAGCCAACATTGAATCGACCAATTTTCCTTTTTTACTTCACACTTCTCTGATTGTATTTCATTCCAAGTGCGTTTTCTAAATCTTTATAGCAACATAATTATTTATTTTACTTCATTGGTTTCCTCTATTTCTCTTTAATATTTTTGCACTTTGAATTATTGTAAAGACAATAATGATAAGAAAGGAGGGTTTTTTTCTTCAAGTCAATTACAAAAGGACATACATTCGTTGTTAGTTAATTTGAAGGAGAGATCTGTTCAACAATTGCGATGCCAGTGACTTGTTAATTATGGAATGTTTCTAGAGGAACAAGGAAGGATCCACTAAAGTATCGTTCGATTGCTACAGTCAATGACATCATTTTTCAAACTGATAAGTTTTGGGGCTAGAAATGTTTTTAAAAAAAACACGGAATGTTTCAATTTTCAGCTGAAGTTTTTCATTGACTCAAAATAACATCCGAGTTATTCCGGTACTGGTTAGCTAAAAATCGAGTATCTTTTTATCAGCTAGTAAAGAGCAGCTAGTAAAGAGATTGAGAATGCCGCTTGAAAATATTGTCACTTCTTTATGAGTATCGTGTTTCTCTCTTTCTAAGTAAAAATTGAATATTTAGCCGGTTCAAAAATTAAAACGATCCCTTAAATCCAGATCATATTCAGAGCAACAAATGTTTTGCAAATTTTCCAACATCCAAACTGCCTCAAATTTTTTCATTAGCAAAAACTTTATTATATATCATATTACGTCTCATATAGAACTAACTGCGTTTATAATGCTTAAAAAATTTCAGGTATGTTTCTGAAAATATATTACTTTTTGTTATTTGCATAGACAATTTTCGTTACTTTGTGAGCTCTTTCTTCTGGAAAAGAAGTTCTTTTCCATTGCTGTGCTTTATTGACAAAACAAGGTCGTTTATTTTTAATAGATGAGTGCCTAGAATCTTTGAATTTTTACCTTTTCAATGCTCTATTTTTCATTTGATAAATAATAAAAAATGTTCCAATATGTCTGGATAGACGAACTAGCATAAAATTGGCCACCTGCAAAGTTTCAATTCCAGTGTCTCATGGCTATTTACATTTTGCGTCAAATAAGTTCATTTAGTCTGGATTTTATTGATGGGCCCTAAAGCATTATCGTTTGATGTGAAGTGCAAATTTGCTTTAAATAAATCTGCAGCCGGCAGATATCTGGAGGCGAAATCTTTCCTTGACTGAAAGAATCGACCTTTGAAAGTCGATCTACCAACTTAAGTGCTCTTGCGTCTTATCAAAAGTAGTTTCTCAAATAATTGTAGATAAAGAGAACAAATTTTAAAGTTTTCACACGCATTGACGAGAAGAATGTTTGATTTCGTCTACTTATTGGCAGCATTGCAAACTATCCTATTGATAGCAATTTTGAACATTTTGCCCAAACCATTATTAGGTTATACAAAACTTTGTAAATCATATGGTTGAAAAAAGCGGGAATAATAAAAAATAATTACCTTATGAATAATAACATATACATTGAAAAAGAGAGTTTATAAAGGAGAGAGGCTTACAAATTTCTATACAGAATTATACTATTCTATGGCTTTCATAAAAAACGATGAATGTATCTTTTGAAATTTAAATATCTATTTGCAATAACAATAGTAAGAGCCTTGCTTGATAGTTACCTCTTGAAAATTATTAATTCCAAATTGACCGCGCTTGAAAAAGGGATTTTCCTTGAAATAGTGGGACATAGCATGCGTAATAATTTCCTCAGCCACGTTGTTGCTTCCTAAAATAAAAATAGATACTTAATAAATCAAATTAGGCAATCTTAATGACGATGAAGTCTTGCTTATTACA